ATTGTTTTTGAGTCTTTTTTTATATCTTACAGAAGTTGAATCTGTGCACTCAGTACGAATTCAAAAACGATTGATATGTTGAAAATGTTCTTTCGTCAATCGTGTTTTGAAAGGATCAATAAACTATTCAAAAAGACATAAGATTTTACGCTTTAGCTATAATGATGCATCGTTGTTTGGCTGTAATCGATTACAGAGATGAGATAGACTCGATCCCAGAAAAAAACAAACCACGAAACATTCCTATGTTGATTGATTGTAGTCGAATCAATCTGTTTATAAGATTTATGCTATATGATTAATGGAACATCACATAGATAAGTTGTTTAAGAACTTTTCTAGCTAGTTGTTGTTCTCCCCCACAAAGAAAATATAGCTATGTGTAAATGAGAAACTCGTATTCACACGCAAAATTGACAAAATCGATGTTTCTATTTGATAATAATTTAATCTTCGTTTTTTTTTCAATATGTTTACTATATTCTAAATTAAATTGAGAAAATATTAAAGACAATACGTATGAATGTGATTTCATGTCGTTTGATTGTGAATCTGTTTGTCGATTATCATAGATAATTTTTATAACGAAAGCTTTCTAAACAGTAGAAATAAGTCAATCATGCAGTATTTTCATGATTCTATTCTATTGTGGAAAAGGAAATGTTAATGTTCTATTAAAAATAAATTATTTATATGTCATGTAAAATTAATCATTTGTAAGTAATCGAAAGAATATTAAAGGTCTATGCAATAGATTATTGATGTATTAGAACGTAATTGAGAAAAAAAAAGATGATCAAACATAAGTGCTTGATCATTGTAAAGGGAAAAAAAAATAAAGGAAATTTATTCTTTTGTTGAAAGCCATAAATCTTTTTTGATTAAGTGCATGTCCAAATATAAGGTCAAAATGGTCCAAAAATCATTTTTTTTTTGTTTTGCAAAGAAGTAACACAAGCATTATGAATTTTTATATTATTCATTTTTTGATGAAGTCTATGGAAAGTAATATATCCTACAAATATTTATTTAAGTTTTCCATCAATGACATCATAAACCATAAGAACGATTTCTGCTCTAAATTTCATATTGACCTTATATACTATAGAAAAACTTCGTCACGATTCTTCAATGATGGATACCTTAGAAAAATGAAAAATTAATATTCAAATCTGTAGACATAAAGGTATTCATTTAATTGAAAAGAAAAAAAAAGCAACTATTTACTTTTGATTTTCTTTTTTTATATTTAATATCAATCTAACCTTTGCTTCCAAAATTCAATGATTCATCTAAATAAAACAAACTTTGTCCAAAGGTCTTTTTTCATCTTATTAAAAGTACCAGTAGATATAATTGACAAAATTTGCTTTAGAAGCAAATTTAAAAAGAAAAAATGAAGTTCTAATGTGATAAAAAATGTTCAAATCATTTGTTAAATATTGATTTGTCAAAAGAAAACAAGTTCATACTTATAGAAGTTGTAAAAGACTTTTTTTCTTTTATTTCTCAAATAAAAGAGCTAGTATAAAATCATTCAAACTAATCTGTCTACTTTTATTTCCTTCCCTTTTTTTTCGTATGAAATATTCAAAATATTGAATTGTTTCTTAACGAGAGGAAATATTCAAGTATCTGTGAACCTTGATTGATTTCAGTGTTTGCCTGTATGTTTATCGAGTGTGGCATGCATGGTAACATTGGTGACGATGTTAAAATTGAGCTGAGAGTATATCTTTTCATCTACTTTTGTTCGCCTCTTATTCTTTCTTACGACCATTTGTTTATATTTGCAAAAGCACATGCAACCGCATTCATCGATACTTCATTTTCAAGCATTTTCTGTTCTCTTCGACGAACTAAATTTAAGATTTAAATCAGTACATAACTCTTTGAAATTTGATTATGTTACTAAACTCAGCTGCACAACATCGTGTTAAACATTTTAATCTTTTATTAGCGCGTGAATTATCATTAATTGAACGCAAACATTCACAAAATTTAATAACTCATCAAAAACTTGAAAATTCAATACGTCGAGCTAATAATCAAACATTAAATAATAATCGAACAAAAATATCTATACCATTTGATAATATTTATAATGAACAAACAGAATCAATCGATCATCATAAAATACGTATGAATGATAATAATACTAATAATAATAATAATAATTCAAATCCAAAACGCCGTTTATCAATTGGTGCCTGTTGTACTATCAGTCAAAATCAAGCAAACTCTGATCAAATAGATGAATTTTCTGAGGATACATCATCTTTTATTTCCTTACGACGTCGACGATTCTGTACGAATAGCCAACGTTTACCTCCAATTGTAAAAGCAACTTTATCAAACCGACAAAAACGAGAAAATAAAACTCATCAATGGATGATTAATCTTCCTCAATCAAGTAAATCAAAAGAAAATGTTAATGAGCAATTAACCATATTAGATGAAGAACCATCACAATCTAATTTACCAGAATTAACACCTATACAAAGACAAGTTCGTTCATTTCTTGAAACATTACCAACATATAAAGGTGTTCAAGATGGTTTCGATAGTTTTGCTCCAGCTTCACTCTATTCAAATCGTGCATCAGTTGCCATTCGATAAAAACAGAAACAAACTAATTTCATCTCTAGGTCAAACACGAAAAAACAGAATAGACACATAACATCTAGTCATTTGATAAATGTATGCAGAACATTGTAACTCATCTTCTTATTTCTTATTGTTCATTCCAATAATAATTTATGTTCATATCAATAATTGTTGTTCTTCAATGACAATGAATATGTCTGTCCTTCATCATTTTAATTCTTTCCTTCTTTTATCTCTACGTATGGTACTCGTCAAAAAGCCGTCACGAATAATTATACTTGTGTTCATTTTTTATTCAAGAGTATCAACATCACCATAATGATTCTTATGAGCGGGGGTTAAACATATTATTTTTTATCTTTTCTTTTTATTTCAAGGTCGAACAAACAAAGAAAATAGAAGAAAAAAGGAAAGTAAATAAAAAAAATTACATCCATCATATATATTCCATCGATCCTACATGTTTGATTAATATTTCACTATATTATTATAATTCTTTCTTTTTTCTTTTTATATTGTCTCATTCACATTCTTATATACTTTTTTTCTGTAGAAAATACATAACAATAAACAACAGAAAAGAAAAGTTTTTGTTTGTTTTAATATTGACGAGCGAAATACTCGCGTTTTTGGCATTCATAGATACGACGAATATCATTGCGAAAATTGACATTAAAAAATGAATAAATAAGTGGATTGCACTAGAATATATATAAAAAAAGAAGAAAAGATATTGGTTTTTTTTTCTATTTATAGTTATTATATATATATGTATACATACTGCACTGTTGATATAATAGAGTATAAATAGGATTTCACGAAAATTGTGTGGTTCAATTTTGAATAATGCATGAATTAATGATGGTAAATACATAAGAATAAATGTAGCTGTAACAATAAATAATGTAAATGTTGTTCGAATATTTGCTAAACGTTCTTGTGTTTGTTGTCGATCAAGTATCCGTTGTGTTTCACCATCAAATGTTGATGGACGACGTGTTGATGATATAGAAAAATTTCGTATTGAAGAATTTCTATGATCAATTGATGATGTTGTTGATAATGACCGATTATTATTCATATGAACAATTAATTGTTGCTGTTGTTGTTGTTGTTGTGATTGATTTGCAGATAATGATAAATTAGGTGGAGCTAAACTAGATCGTTGATAAGTATTTGGTGAATCTTCACTAATACATTGATCAGCAATTCCAGCAGACGTCACTATTGATATAAAGAGAAAGAGAATATTTCCGTACTTCTTACTGTTGTCTGTAATTATTAAAAAAAAAGAGAAGAATCCAACCGAGTCAATCATCCGCTTTTGATGGGTAGTCCGGATAAGAAGTGTCCTATAGGGTAGATGTCACGTCTCGTTTATGCACTTGGCTTTCTTTATCAAGGAAAAATGTAAAGTAGAACGTAAAAATATAATTAGATTTTTTTCATATCCGAATGAGCATCAAAAGACACTATGCGTACTTCAAGAAACCTGAAAAAGAAAATGATGTATATGAAATTGAATGACGTCTCTTCTTTGTCCTTTATATAATCTTTAGGGAAATGAATCAATATTAAAAAAGAAAAACAAATAGAGCAATTTTGAATAGTCTAATAATATACATACTAAATGATACTTTTCGTTGATGAACTGATACATCTGATAGTCGTTGTTGCTGTCGAATAGATAATGTATTACTTGTTTTACGTACAATTGATACATGAGGGTTATTTGTACATTGCGATACACTTCGTTGTAATTCATTTTCATTTAATTGATTATCTTTATGTATAAGTTCACCTGATGATGGCGATAACATTGTTGTTGTGGTTTGTTGTCCAGGTACAGTTAAATGTGTTGAATTAGAGGGTGTCATAGGACGTAATTGTATTGCATTATTAAGTGTTAATAGTTTTGTTCCTAGTTCAAAGGAATCTTCGGTTGATGTTGATGGTCGACTAGTTGATGAATGTTCAGTTCCACAATAAGTTGTTGCAGCTATTGAATTAAGTCTTGAACGTATTAAATTTGTTGATGTTGTTTCATCCCATATGCCACTTGTTAAATAAGTCATTGATGTCATTGATATAGCTGAATAACGTTTACCACGTGCACCATTTACTTCTAAAACAACTTGTGGTCTACATTTAGTTTGATTTGTTATTATTGATGATGGTTCATCATGTATATGACGATGATGCATTTGTTGTCGTCGATGATTTAATGGTTCATGTAAAGTTGATTCTGATGGTCGTTGTAAATCGTGTACATATTCATTACTTGTTTTACAACAGTAACAACAAATAAGTGTTAATGTTGATGGTGAATGTTCATTACGATAATGACGACGTTTATGTATATTTTTTGTTGATCGTATTCTAGTATTTTCTGTTTCATTATTCATTAAATAAGAACGAATTATACGACGATAAGCAGATAATTTTCTTGTACGTGTTACACGACGTTGATAAACAGCATTATATATAAATGCATAAAGAATAAGTACAAGTAAAATACATATTGCAAATAATATACTATGAAACATTCGATATGCATCAAGGAAAGTTGATGGTCCAAGATCTTAAAACAAAAAACATGCTTTATAAATTAATAAATAAATACAAAAAGATATTTAAAAACAATTTTTTTAACTGTATCTCAAAAGCTATTAAATTTCTAAAGTAATATAACTTTTATAATAAAAGTATGAAATTAGAATTCTTAAAAAAAAAAGAATTTCTTTTGTTGAACTTACGTAAATTAGATTTTGGACTACAATTAACATCTGTTAAATTGCCTGCTATAAATGATCCTGCTGTATCACTTTTTTTAATATGTTCAACATGTTTGTACATCATTGCATCATTACCATCTGAATATTTTATTGAAAAATGTTCCGAATGATTATTATGTATTTGAAAAAAATGTTCTGTTGTTGAATATTCTGTCATTGGTATAATAGCTAAAACAAAAATAAATAAAGAAATTCATCATTTTTGAGTTTGTTTTTTTGGCGACGATTAAAAAAAAGCCCTAGGAAATAGTACCTAATAAAGATGATAATATTCCACAGACAATAACAATAGCATGTGCACGACGTATAGTAATAATTTTATATAATGGCCAACATATACAAAAATATCGATCAAATGCAATTGTTGTTATAAGAAGAGTTGAATAAAGTACATGTGTTGATAAAAATCCATAAAATTTACATAAAAATTCATTTCGAATACCTATTTTAAAATGCAAAGTCGTATTAAGATTAGTCAATGATTCTTAAAGCTAATAGAATTCATATGTTCTTATGTTATGTAGGTATCAAGCAGTTGAAAGAAAACAAAAAAGAAATACTATCAAGATTCTATTTTGATTTTTAAAAAAAATGTTTTCAAATGGTTTCTGATGAGTTTTATTTGGTTGCCAGTTTTAATTGTGTTTTTTTTTTGTCATTGACAAGTAAAAATGCATGATAATGATGATGAAAGTAACATGAAGCTTTAAAACAAAACATGTTTCTTTTTTTTCTGTTATTATCACTCAAAGATGTTGTATATGAAGTTTAAAAACCTTTTTTTTTTTTCATAATTAGTTTTTTACCTGTTGTTATTTGATATAATTCTAAAGGTGCCAAAATCAAACATATAATTAAGTCCACAACAGCTAACATTTTTATAAAAAATGTGCATGTCTTATTATCTTTACGATTAATATAAACATAAAGTACAAGAATATTTCCTGTTGTACCAAATATAATTGTTACTAATAAAACAATCCATAAAGCAATTAATATAAATAAATGTATTGGATGATCAATATTATTTGAATTAATTTGACTAGAATAATTCATAGAAGTTTCATTTGATATATGTGATGTTAATGGTGATTCTATTGTTTCATAGTACGGTGTTGTTTCCATTGATGATTATCCGTTTTGTATGTTTTCTAAATCTTTAGTTGAAAACAAATATGTAAAAAAGATACAATATAATCTGTCAGACTTGTTGCTCACTGGAAACTTTTTTTTCTTACACGCACAAATATATATATGCAACGTCATTAACATGTAGTAAACTACATCTATTCATTGACAACTATCAGTTTAATACCTATAATTAATAATGAGAATAAGCTTTTGACAAAAAAAAAACACAAGAAAGTTACATATACTCGCGTGATTTATATCGTAGTATGATCAGACTAATAATACAGCCAGATGTAGTGAGAATGAACAAATCGAACTTGAACTCTATTATTGTTCGGTGAGAAACAGAAAGCAAGTGACCTATCTTCTGTTTTTTGTATGATTATAAACCTTGTACTCAATATTTCAAGTATATCTTAAAAAAAAAATATGTTTTATTTCTTCTCGTTATCTTTCTCTTTTTCTGCTCAGCATTCTTACTCACTTTGTTCTAATTATATTGACTATAGGCATTCCTCTTTCTCTCTCTCTCTCTCTCTTTGTTCCCTCAGTCTATATCCTGTTGAGCTTAGCTAGCCAATGTTGATAGGCGGTGCGCAAGATCGCATTTTCCTAAGCACGCATATATACGCCTATAAATACACACACGCAATACGACATCTTTTCTTCAGTGCTGCACCATCATTCACTAATCGTAATAAAAACAATAGTGATGGTATGATTCGTAACTTAAAAACCATTATTTTACTATGAACAAAAAGATCGTTAGACAAATATATATAAATATATATACAGAGCGAATGCCTATAATACGGCATCTATAAAGGAAAGACTGAAGAATGACAAAAAAAAGCGAGTGTACGTGACGTAGAATTTTAAGGAAAAAAACGAAGAAAAAAAAAGAACAGAAAAAGACAGAGTCAATTAAAGTAATCGTCAGTCGAGAGGAATGGAAGACCTCCTGACATCAAAGTAGTTGTTGGTTGAAAAGGCTTGTAAGAATCAAAGCCAAAAACTTCATGATCTATGCATGTCTTCTCAGATGAATTAGCTTTCTCTGAAAGTGCATATAATCAATTTTTTTCACATTGGATTAAAAATCAAGGACAGATGTCTTCGTGCAACTGTGGATCATCATTATCATCAATTCAATTTCGCTCAACAACACAAAAAAAACATAACTACAAACACATATATACAATCTTTTCTAGCCACGCTTAATCCCAAGCGATAAAAATTTGACTCCATTAGGCGTAATATTATCGTTTTTTCTGTTTTTTCGAAATAGTAGTAATCTTTTGGATTCTTTTTTACACTTGTAAATACCCTATACTAATAATAAAGGATGATGATAAGACAAAAGGCAACTATTAAAAAAACTCAATGAATGGGTTTTCTAGTACTTCTCATGCTCTTTTTTTTTACGAATGCAATGCTGTGGCTTGCAGATCTGGAAAATGTCTTTATTTATATCAATATACACTTTCTATACACATGTAATTGCAGATAGCAATAGCCCATATGTCTATGAATCATTAGACTGAATTGAATAAGTAAAAAAGATCAACTAGTATTGCTAGAGTAATTTGATTTATTTTAGTGTGTTCTACATGATTGTGATGAGAACGTGTCTCTATGCATGTTTTTTCAATGTGAGAACTTAATGAGAAATCACACCCAAGAATTAAAGTAGTTGTTTTCTATTGAGTGTCGATTTCGAAAGCGCTCATGATTGTGTCAACTTTGTATTTTCAAACATACACACATAGATCTGTATCGCACACGTTCATGAACATTTGTCATGAACACACAATAACAAGCTATTATTAAAATAGAGAAAGAAAGAAAAATGAAGAAAGGGAGGGAGGGGGGTAAGACTGGTGAAAAGAAGGAAGAAGACTAACCGACGGACTTGGATACAGACACAAACACACGCCTAGGACATAACATAAAACGGAAGTCGTTTTCTTTCTCTTTTTCATGCCTATATTATTCTTTCGATGCCAATGTCTATAAGCTGCAAGTCACAACTAGTTTCTCTATGATGTTTTCTTTTTTTTTAATAAAACAAAACTAAAAAAGACGATGTAATCTTCAAAAAAGATCATCATATTAGGGTGTAAATGCCTATAGTGACATTTCTTCTTGAATATTCATGCAATTGTGTTGATGCATAAACTAATTAAATATTTTTCTAAGTAGACTCTTGTAGATGAATAGGCTTATACTTAATGATTTTCTTTTCTATGTAATAATATTTCTTTTCAATAATTTTTGATTAAACTTTATTTTATATATATAGCAATGTCAGTAACTTTCATTGTCTTATTGTTGTCAATCCGTAAGTAATTGTCTATGGTAAAATGTCATGTCAATAGAATTAAGACATAGCAAACAATGTTGCTTATCCGATAACCTATATAGAAAATAGTAAAAAAAAAACGGGCAATCAACAGTGATAAGATAAAACGCGATCGTATTTTCCAATCAAACGAATTATATAAAAAAAAAAATCCCAGACGAATACTATATAGCCTCGTCAATTTATTCCAATCTTGATCATTATTATATATCATAACTAACGTCTGTCCTTAAGAAAATACTTTCTAGGTAGATTAATAACTCGTTCCTCTAACTTGACATGTATATGCGCATATTTAAACAAATAGTTTTGTTTTTTGGCATATTTTTTTATTTCCATTAATAAATAACGAACAGGTCTTAAGAAACATGCACTAACTAAACTAAATAGAAATCAGGCATATGTTATATAAATAAGAAACTATTTCAAACACGAGATTATTGATACAGCATTAGCAATTTGTACTTAAATTTGACAATAATAAAAAAAATCTATGCCTACGCTTCATTTAGCAATCGTTGAATATTAAATAAATCATCAATCTTTTCTATTTTTCTTTTTTCTTATTCTCTAATTAAAATAAATATAAACACTAGACGAGAAACAAATCTGAAAGAAGTTAAACTTACATTAACCAATAGGTATTCAATAAGGATAAAGTTTTTCTTTTCTTGTCACCTTAGAGATTAACTTTCTTTTTGCTTGACAAAAATACAATATATGTATTAACAACAGGAGAACTAATAGAATATGGGAAAAGTAAAAAAAAGAGTGAGAGAGAGGAAAACAGTGGGGAAGTCTCCTTAGAGATCAATTCTCTGAGTAGCATTATCCTCTCATACACACACACAGAATGACATGGGCATGAAAAAAAAAGCAAGAGAAAAAAAATGAAACAAAAAATATGATCAACGATCATTAGCAAATACAGTGAAACAAGAGATTTGTTCATTCTTTTTGTATTTTTTCAAGGATAATAATTCATAGGTAGATTATCCTATCGATTCTAATAATCCACAAAAATTGACTTCTTGGTTTTTATTTTTAATTTGTTTTTTTTTTACATCTAAAAGATAGTACCTATGAATGAAGAAAGATAGAAAGAGAAAAGCAAAAAAAATACTTAAGAGAGATTGATGGAAGAGGCTATTTCAATGTTTTTGCATGTGCATATCTTATATATATATATGTGTGTGTGTGTGAACGAGCAACATGCAAATGAGATTTCTCAACGACCTATAGAAGTACTCATCTAGGAAAGAATATAAATTTTCTCAGGCTGATCATTATATCAATTCGTCAATGAGAATAAGACGATTAAAAAAGAAAAAAAATAAATCATCGTATTCTTTTTTTATCCTGACTGCTTTTTCTGTTTCGTTCTACAATTCAATTCAACATGTTTTTTGAGAAATTTCAATTAAGAAGAAAAGGAAATTAAGTATCAGGGGTCCTAGAGATTTATGAGTAAACCGCATATAATATAGAATATTAGACTGCATAATAGGTTTTCTTTCATTTTCAAGAATATTTGAGCGTTAAATTGGTATAAATAAACTAGTTTATTGTACTTATGTTCCACGTAACAAGAAAAAAAGAAAGTCAAGTAAAAAAAGAAGAAGACATAATTGATTACAAAAAAAATTCAAATAGTTCAATTTTTATTTTGCATTATTTTTAAATTGTTGTTGACGTTTTGTCTCATTTCTACAAATGAGAATCTTTATTTACAAATCATTAAATCAATAAATGCTTACATCAAGTTGTAGTAGATCATCATTATTATTATTATTATTGAACTTTTTATCTTTTGTTTTGGCTAAAAATTCAAAAGTATTAAAAAGAAAAAAGCAATTAAATTTATTTACTATTTTCATGTGAGATCATTTGACGTAAATCCGCAATTTGTTGACTAGTTAAATCATCATGTGCAATAATTTTATCAGGATTTATTGATGTTGTTTTTGTTTCTGATTCTTTTGTTATTATTTTTTCATTTTCAGGAACTTCTATTGTCTTCTCCGAGATGCCTTGAAGATCTATATATATATATATGGAAAAACAAGAGATGAATAATAGATAGGAACAAATACAACAAGTCAACTTACCAAGAGTACGCACAATATAGGTAAAAAGTGTTGTTTCAGCATCGGTAGCTCCATCAATAACACACGAATATACACGTTCATGTATATCACGATTGATAGTTAGTTCAATAGAATAATCATAAAGTGAAAGAGGAAATACCCGACGTAGTTGATCACCCTTATATTGGTTTTTTAAAAGATAATCAGTAACAAGAATATTGTCTATTGATGCATTACCAACAACCCAAAATGCACTAACTGAACCTACATAGAATACATAAATAAATAAGAAATATTCTTGTTTGTAAATTCTATACGATGATAAGTGTGTATAGCACATTGAAGAAATGCTGTTTGATAAGCTTCAATGACTGTTGGTGAACTTGTATACATATTTGTAAAACATGGCAATTGATTTAAACTTATTTGACAAAGTCGAGGAGCTGTTCAATAACAAAAAAAAACACGAACTAATGTTCATTTCCAAAACAAAAGAAGGGTGGTTGTATTTTGAATATCTCTTCAACATAAAGGGCTATTGTTTTGTGGTTTTCACCATTAGAAACAGATTGACATTTTACATCTTTTTATGTACTACTCATCAACAAAACTTGCTCATAAATTTGATGAACAGTCAGTGAAATTCAAAGAAAAAGTTAAAGTGCTTTGAAAAATGTATGGAATTTCAACTATAAGAAGTGCGCTAGATTCGTCACTCAAGATCTACAACGTCTACATAAACCGAAATGTTGATTTTGTATCATTCAAAAGATATACGCTCAACACTGATGGTTAAAAATGTTGAAAACAGTCATTTGTGACTATTTTTTTCAAGCTTTTTGAATTCTATGTTTATCAATTAATAGTTAAGTTTTCGATCATTCTCACTTGAATGAAACTGTTCATATTATAAGGAAATCATTCTTTGTCATGTAAAAACAGTACTAATCATATTACATCACATATCGAGTGTCTTCGTCGCAAACTATGCTGATACAACACACTTCTGTATGCTGAACATCTCTTCAGAATGATCGAAAATTTAACTAGTAATTGATAAACATAGAATAAAAAAGCTTGAAAAAATAGTCACAAATGACTGTTTTCAGTATTTTTAACCATCAATGTTGGGTTGTATATCTTTTGAATGATACAAAATCAAAATTTTGGTTTATGTGGAGTTATAGATCTTGAGTAGACGAACCTAGCGCACCCATTTTAATTGAAATTCCATACATTTTTCAAAGCACTTCAACTTCTTCTTTGAATTTCGCTGCCTGCTCAACAAATTTATAAGCAAGTTGTGTTAACGAGTATATATAGAGGTGCAGTATGTCAGTCTCTTTCTAATAGTGAAAACTACAAATCAATAGCTCTTTTTGTTGAAGAGATATTCGGAAAAACAACCACCCTTTTATTCTGAAATGAGCAATAGATATATTGTTGCTGTATGTACATTTCTTACGAACCAGTTAATTCAATATAGTAACTAAGTGCTGATAAATTTGTATGTTCTTTCAAATGATTATTTTCATTATTATTCTTATGATTTGATGCTCGTGGACGAATAATACATCGATAAATTCCACTATCATCAATATTTACGGATCGTAATAAAATTGATGCATCAGTAATATCTGTTTCAGTGAAATTTAGTGAATATGGTACAGCACTTGTTATAAAACGAAGAGCTGTTGGACGTACGTAAGTATATACCGGAAAAATTTTAATATCTATTGATTTTTTAAAGTCTTGATACCACCATTCAATAATTGAACCTTAAAAAATATACTAATATACAAAAATGATTCATTAATTTAATATTTATTTTACGTTTTAAATGAGCAACATGACAAGGTAAAATTAAACTATTGCTAGATGAATGTAAACGAATAGGATCATGTGTTGATATTTCAAGAAAGCAGGGTGTATCTTTATCATCAATTGATATTGATTTATTACAGAATGTAGCAGTTGATGATGATAAAAGCTAGATTCAAATTAAGATTATTTTTTAGATTTTTTTTTATTCGAAATATTCAACTTACAATAATTACTACAATAAATGTATGAAAGTTCAAATACTGATTGTGAAAGATCATTTTAACGTCTGCTCCGTACTCCTGACGAACACGAAGTGAATAAGAGAAAAATAATCACAATCGGATTGTTTACAACCGTTTTTTTTTCTTATATGGTTTGAATAAAGAAGATATATACCAACTTGTATAGGGACGTTATCGTCGTTCTATCTAATGACAGTACGAAACGACGAAATGTATCGTATGATAGTCTTTTCATTATTTTATCGAGGGTTTCACTTCATATTTTCATTTTACAGTTGAATCAAAACGTCGAAATCAAAAGTTCGATTTAAATTGTCTTTTACATACTTTATCATTTATGACATTGAGCAAAAAAAAAGAAAAATTGATGAAGACTTCGTAACTTCTGTATAAGTATGCTATTGATGTCAAACGATGATAACTCATAGTTGTAAAAAAAAAATAATCTCTTACATTCTTTATCATTCACAATAAATAGTTTGCAAGTTATGAATTATTGATATAACTTTATAAAAGTCAAGTTTTAATCATTCGTTAGGAAATACTTCTAGAAAGTTTTCTTTCTGGTAAAAAACAAATAAATAAATCGATTAGAGATGAAAAATTTCAAATGTAACATTTGAAATTCCAAATATGTTTGTTTACTATTTGATCCTTTTCGAGATATGTGATTTAACAGGCATTCACATTACAGCTTTTTATAATGACTCGTCATTCTTTAAAACTTGTCATTTTCAAACATTTAAAAATTAAAAACAAAAGAATTGAAGTAGATTTTATTGTTATGTTCATTATTTGCATTTATTTTTTTGTTTGCAATAAGATTTTAATCGCTATACTTTTGTTTCCTTTGTATTAAATATTTGTACAAATTTAAATTTTTTATAACGATTGCTGAAGTATTACGATTATTGTCATTGCGGAGCCTAATATATTAATTCATTCTGTAAATATATACATGCCCGCAAAAAGAAAAGGATCAATTAATTGCACACGACCATATGCAATTCAATAAACATCATTGAAGGTTGATCAAAATAAAACATCTAAGTACAAGCGATTAAAGAGAATTCTTATTCTCTTAAAGAATAAAATCTACGCCATTTTCATAATATTTCTGATTACAAAAGGCAGTTATGAAGATCGCCTACATATAGTATGAATAAAGGTATCGAATGTGAAAGAAGAAGAAGAAGACGAAGAAAAAAAAAGAACGAAAAGAAGGGCATATTCTCTTCTCTTACAAGATTTTTTTATTACTCGTCGTTATATGTTTTATTTCGTTCTAGACAACCAGATATTAAATATATTTTTTTGGAATAGTGATGCATTATTTAATGTAAAAGAAGACGAAGAGAAGAAAAAAGAAGCTGATTCTCGTGTTGTTCTCATCATCTTTCGTTAATTTAACAACATCACAAACTTAGTCATATCGATTTATTTTACAATATATAGCAAATATCATGCTTTTTCTTATCAGTTTTGCATGGCTCGTAGCTGCTAGTTTTGCTTTTGTTCTGGCTATTTTAACTCCTAATTGGTTATCATTTATACCATCTGAAGAACCTGAAAGTATTACTGTGGAACGTGGAATATTTTATATATGTAATTCGTCTCAAATTGGTAATGGTTATAAAATAACACAATGTTTATCAATCATCGAACAGAAATCATCAAGTAATCGAAATACATGGCTCTACGGTAGGTTATGTTTGTCATCGTAGTTTTCTTTTTAATATAACTGTCAAATTTCATTTATTATTATTATTAATATTTATCATTATTTGACAAAATAAATATTTTCAAATTATGTTATTTCATGTCATTAATTGACGGTATATTTTATGAAAGAAAAAATCGAGAATATTGACTGATGAATTTTATTTCAAGGTTTTCATAGAACTTGCTATTGCCTGTGCAGTATTGGCTATTGCTTGTGCTGGACTTAGTATTATTGTTTTATGGTTGTCGGGAATTTATTTTCAAGTACGTCGACGAACAAAAGACACATTATGCTTTCTCTTTTGTATTATTCTTCTAACTTTAATTATTTGTAAGTAAAAATAATAAATTCATATTTTGAATAATTTTTATCTTGAAATGCATTTCATAGTTTGTTCTTCATTTGTCGTTTGGATTTTACTTATCGCAGAAACTCTTAAACTTGGTATTTCAATTGATCGTCATAGGTTTAGTTGGCCGATGTGGTTAGCTGTTGGCGCAACGGGTGGTTATTTAATGTCACTTTTAACAATGATTTTTTCATTCTGTGCGATATATAAACGGAAAAATAAAATTAACCAAAATTACTATCGTCCAAGAAATCAATTTTAAAACATTATTTATTTCATGCTAGCTTTCCTTTTTTTTATTGTTATAATTAATATTCATAAAAGTTCACTTTTTTAGTTAACATACTTGTACATTTTCGATATCTTTTCTGATATTGCATTTCCTATGTCCTTGTTTACAAACTTATATATCTTTCTTAGAAGATTAAAAGCACAAAAAAAAGAAATTATAAAGAAAAATTTTTGTAAATTTATGAACGGACGGAGTTTTTTTTTTGTTGATTTATGTGTTAAATACTTATCAGCTCTTGCAAATAGCAACTAGATAAATAAGAAATGCATATAAATATACCCCAGATGATCCCAAATTGATCCAAAATGATGAACCAAAATCTTTTAGACGAATATCATTAATTTTGAACATTTTTTGTTGTGAGTTTGTTGTTAACATCATTGTCCAAACAGTGGTTGCGAATAAAACTAAAAAAAAATATTATTAAAATGAAACTCGATACGTTAAAAGTTGAAATTCACATACAACTGCCTAGAGTAGCAACCAGAGTCAACATAAGTAACCATCTTGAATCAATATTACGTGCATGTCGTTCTATATACCAAGAACCAAGTAAAAGACCAATAAAACTAATACCGACACAAGCAATCGAAAATGAGGCAACAAGAATTGGATATATCATGTTTACTTAGAAAAGAAAACAAAATAAATTCATTCTTGTTTTGTTCTTATTTGAGGAAAAAAAAGAAGGTTTCTGTTATTTACTTGCTTCAAGTAATGAATTATTTAATTGTGAGCAGAAAACCCATTGACAAGATTGTGATGATGATGAATTTGTGCATATTTGAAAAATATTTATATTTATGTTTTTTTCTGAACTAATGTACCACTTTGGTGTAAGAATAGCTGCGACAAACATTAATGTAGAGATTAATAATATATGATGTCCATGTAGAGCCAACGACATATTGCTTCTTCTTTTTCTGCAAACTGGCAAGGTAAAAGTCCTTAGTACGACATTCCTATTTTTTTCTTTCTTTCTCACTTTTTTTTTGTTACGTCGTTGTTCTAAGTGCTAACAAACGTCATGTTCTCCCGTTCACTCTTCTCTCTCTCTCTTTCTCTCGTCATTTGCTTTCATAATCATATCACGTAATTTCATTGACTTGTCATTTTCCGACAGCAAGAATTACTGATCACAGTAGCACAGCAGATATATATCTGTAAGAAAAAAAATGATCCAAGCAAAAAAATGGAAATCTAATCCAAAGATGTGCTAAAATAATGAAGAGTGCTTGTCTTATTATTGAATTATATGACCATTTACTCAGCTCATGGAACTAAAAAGAGTATTTTTCTTCCCCTATTTTCATGTTCTATTCCAATATATAGGTCAACATGAAGTAAAAAAATAGAGTTAAGTGGGATACAGTGATAGTTTTTCTCTTTCTCCTCTTGAAATACATATGTCTATGTTTAGAAAAATTAATGAATAAGCTCGCAAGGTTTTGAAAATCTAGGCAGTATTGTATTCTTCGTTGAACAAAATAGATTCTTTTAAAGACCAGCAAATCATACATTATGTCAAATATATCTAGACAAAATATGAGCCGACATAATGTCATTGACTGTCTATAGTGCACTAACATGAAATATAAATGAATCTTTGAAATTTGAGATCGAAGCATAAGTTTCTGTATACTTGAATCAAACGTAATACGATAAATATTGTCTTTTTCTCGGCTTGATATCGTTCAAAGAAAGATTAGCAAATATTAATGTCATTTTTGTCTGTAATTTTGATAAAAGACATTGGATTCTTTTTCAACTTAAAAAGAAAACTATATTTGTACTTAATTCTAATTAATTTTCATTAGAAAAAAAATTAGATGCATATTTGTTACAATTTGAATTTATTTTTCAAGTTTCTTAATAATATTTCAATCATGAAATTTCAGACAATTTTTAACAATGATCGAGTTTGTTACCAAAAATGTTCATATAAAAAAGGAACAAGTCGTAAATTGATAGTGGTACTTTATGACTTTTTTCTTTTTTAAGAGGAACGACTTCCATTGAAAAAAATGCACAATTATATGAGAGTAGAAGGAAGAATAATTTTTCTATTCTAAAGAACACGTCTGAGTGACGATGAACATATTGTAATTTGAAAGCTTGAATAATATAACTTTCATTTACGTTAATGTGTATGTTAATATAGTTAAGGATTGAGTTTATAAGTGAGTTATGAGTAAATTATTACCTTTTGAGTCGAACAATCGTTAATAACTTATTGTTAAATATACATTATTATCATCTCAATTACAAAGAACAAAATATTTCAAACTTTATCTCGTGACACACGTATTATATTATTTGACATATGAAATCAATTTCAATAAGTACAGATTTATCAGTTTCATCAATTCGATATTGTGCTGGTACAACAATGTCTATTGTATTCAATGGTATTGAATGATTTGTTTCTTGAGTAATATCATGAATCACTTCAACATAATCACTGTGTGAAAATTGAAGTGGACAATATTGAGTGTGTATATGATGTTCTACATGTAAACCTATTTGTTGTACAGCAGTGGAAGGACTAAACAGACGATCAGAAAAAAATTTAGCTACCAAATTAACTTATAATTCAATCAATATGCACTAAACACCTCGATAAATACTAATAAATAGTAAACGAGATAAAGATGGATGAAAAATAGTTCGATGAAAAATAGAAGAAGACAAAAGATACCCTCAGGTTTGTCAGATAAATTGCTCAAATATGTCGATTGAAAAAAATCAAGATATGGTCGATGGCCAATTCATAAAATAAGAATATCATCATTAGTTGTTTCAATTATTATTTCATTACGCAATATCAATAATGTTCCATCTTTATGAATTTCACTTAATCGTCCTTGTTTTAAAATTATTTTTCCTATTTGATTCCATTCAATATACATGTTTGATATAGCAATAAATGATGTTTGATTATCAGTATTTTTAATTAAACAAGATCACCACCAATAATAAATGCATAGTATTTATTGAAATTTTTATAATCATCAATATTTCGAAATAAAATTTCATGATTTAATGTTCATATTGATCGAAAATAGAATATAAAATCGATAGGAGAAAATGATAAATTTGGATCTTTAAATGTCATTAGTAACAAACGCAGTACAGACCAGAAATTATGTGGTGCAATATGTACAATATGCGTAACAGTTATTACCATATTAGCAGCTATTTCAGTTGCACTCATCGATGCACCAACAAGTATCACTCGTTTGTTGCGTACTTGTTCGGGTGAACGATAATCACTAATATGCATAAATGTTCCTTGAAATGTTAAATCATCAATTATATTATCAGGTTTATGAAGATATTTCAAAAAAGCCTGACGCAACAATAATAAAATCAGATTGGGTTGATAACATCTCATTTGATGTTGTTCGATAATATACTGCTCAATGATGTGTTGTATATTTAGAATAAGTAATATTTATGACTTGAGGATTAAATTGAAAAATATCATACGATATTGATTGTCGAATATAGTTTGATAAATAAGAATAAACATCACGTTGACTAGGAAATACTGGTTTATCTTTAGGCCAAGTAAAATCAGATAATGTTATAGAAAATTTAGAAATATTAATTTTCATTGAGTTTCAACATGGTTTCCAATCAGCATTCCATATACCACCTATGTCTGATGCTTTATCAAAAGCAGTAGGTCGAATGGCAACTTCATACAAATGGATTGTTGAAACAAGACTTAACTCACTAACAACTATAATGACTACACAATTTTGCTCACAATGCGACATAGTTTATATGATGAACAAGACAGATTTATGCTTATTTTCTTTATTTAGTGTGACATAGAATAGTTCAGCTTTTGTTGTGTAATATCCATGTGATAAGTGTGTCTAATAACACCCTTTTGTTTTTCTTTTCTTTTATTTGACGATTTTTTTTAACGTGATACTTTTATCCTCTTCTGTCATCGTTCTAATGTTTTTTGGTATAGTTCCAATACTGGCCTTGCAAGACATGGCACAAAGATACTGGTTTTCATGAGATAAAAACTTGCAACATCTTTATAATTTGAAATGTATATTGTTTTTGATCACCTTCTTTTTTCCAAACCAGAAACAACCAATAGATTGAATCAATCCTATTAATATGATTCAAATAAATTTTAATGCATTGTCATTTTCACTAATACTTGAATGATCGAACTATCAAAATTTAGTCAAATATTCTTTATAATCTGTATGAATGAAAATAATATTTTACTTTTGCATATCTGTACGAAAAAAAATATGATGAAGTCGAGAATGGTAAACTTTTTTCGAAATGTAAATATTTATTAGTAAGAAATGCACTTCACTTATCCAGGGACTTTTAAATGGTCATTATTCTTCTTTGCCTGATTGCCTATTTTATCTAACGAATAAGCATGATTATCATACGCACGAAAGAAAGAGAGAAAGAAAGAAAGAAAGATAGATAAATAGATAGATAGAAAGAAAAGACTTAATGTATCAACAAAAGAATTTGAATCAGTTATACTAGTCATTACCTTCTTGTGGCGGCGACGATAGTCACGACAATATCAGATTTAACTTTCAAATAATTGATTTTATTTTTATTATCTTGAATTTTTACATTCAAAGAAAAACAAAGGTAAATTGATGGCTGATCGCAAATTATTCATTGGAAACCTTGTACGGCGTATTACTCAAGAGGATTTATGGGTTATGTATTCAACATTTGGACCATTAGAAGAATGTGCTAAATTTCATGAATCATTTGGTTTTGTTCGTTTCTTACATGCTGAAGATGCTCGACAAGCATTAAAAGCTACTCATGGTATAACACTCAAAGGACGATGTATTAAAGTTGAATTTGCCGCAACTACAACTTCATGGCGATCAACTAATAATTCTTATTGTAATGAATGTCGTTCATCAGGTAAAATTTTTTTCATTGAAATAATATTCATAAAAATATCGTTTTTAAATTAGCTCGTTATAATATTCCACCTATTCGAGCTATTGATTTATCAAATCATCGAGGATATCATCATCGAATAATTAGTAGTTCGTCATCGTCTTTGTCACCGCCATCCATTGGTCCAATTGGTCACAGACGAAAAACTCATTCGAAATCAAGTAGGCACTCATTATGTTTTTTTTTGCGGTTAGTATTGTTGTTGTTTTTTTTTGTATAGTTACTTCTGAATCAACAAATTCTTCTGATACTCGTCAATCTCATGTATCATGTTCATCACCACCGTCATCCTATGCTGCTTCATCAAGTCATGTTACTGAGATTGATGATTATGATTGTGATCTTGATAGTGGATATAATGATGAACATGATTCACCATTATTATCATCATCAGCATATTTAATTCCAACGTCACCATGGTATGATATGCCTATTGCTGATGAATTATTCATTTGGGTATTAGTTTTTTTGAAATGATTTTATCTTTGATATTGATTTCCTTTGTTTTTATTTTTTATTTTTATTAAAGGATTTTCAATTGTATGCTGATATTGCTCGTGAACTTCCATTAATTAAAATAGATTATTTATCTTCTGAATTGACCGATGATGACACATGGACAATGATGGATTATTTTGCAAAATTAAATATTGAAGAGTATTTATAAGCATTGTTTTATTTTTTGATCTGAAGAAGCTTTTTTTTTTCTAAGAATCAGTGTGTGTGTGTGTGTATATGTTAAGTTAATTATAGTAAAAGTTACTGATCAATTATGTTCAATAGAGAGCTTTTGTATTCAAAATACTTGTTTGTTTTTCTTATCTTTTTGCTGAAAACCTTAAATGAAATCTTGATGAATCCGGTTGTTTTGTTTCTTATTTGTAATTCTCTCTTTTTTTTGTGTGATACGGACAAGTTCTTGGAGTTCTTTTCTTTGTATGGTTTGTTATTCTTTAACTTTATTTGTTCTATATAAATGTGTCATCACCTCTTATGACTTTTCATTGTCCTTTAATTGACTTTGTTTTCTTTTTCTTTCATTGTAGTCTTTTCTTATTTAATAATTTACTATAATAGTGAGTAGTGTATTTTTCATCCCCTTATATTTACTTTTTTGTTTGTTCGTTTGTTAGTTTTCTTTTCACATGAGTGGGTGAAGGATATTTCTATCGTATTTATCAATGTTCATAATTGCATGTAAAACATTTATTTTTGACGATAAAAAATAAAGGTGAATAAATATATGGTATTTCAGGAAAATAAACTAGATAAGTTTTGTAGAATCAATATATGAAGAATTTTGTGGTAAAAATAAATAGTTCAACAATAGAATTGTTTTTTCTTCTTTAAAATATAGAGATAGTATACAGGCTTATCAAATTTTCTGCTTTTAAATATTATCTTGTGATGTTAAGATTTAAGATGTAAATTTCGGAGATACTGCGAATTCATAGCAAAACATAAAAAGGAAACAAGAAGTGATCTACTACAATGTTTGTCCATGAAGCGATCACCTAGGGATGGCATAGATTCCATAGTATTTCATTACACGATTATAAATACACTATATTCAGACGCAAACACTCATCTTCTACATATACTCTAATGAAAACTAGTAAAGTATTCTGATAATATCTGCTAATTACGTCATACTATTCTATGAGTAGACCATTCAAAACTACATGTGAACATCTGTCGACTAGAGACCTGATTGTGGGTTGTAAATGTGTTCATGTGGGGTGCAGGTGTATTGGTGCGGTGGGTGGAGTGTGAACTGGTTGGCGTATAAATAGGTCTGCGGCTTAGCATGTGTTATCAATGAGTGTATCTTGGATGTGGCTGTTCTTGTGATTGCAGGTGCGGGTGCGTTGATGTATGGTGCTGGATATCTTGGTATGATGTGTGAGTGTGGCGATCCATGGTTCGGTCGCGATACTTGGTGTAACGATATGAGTGTGATTGGTTGGAAAGGTGAAATACAACAGAACCTAGTTCGAACACCGGCATTCTCATCGATACGATAGCGAAGACGCACATTCAAATCTACAGTGACACTCATATCGAGGCTCACACCCGTACTCATACCCTTTTCAGTTCTTTAGTAACTGAATTGAACGTACAATTTTCACACATATAACAGATTCGGATGAGTGAAATGGACGTACAGAAAGAAGCGCGTAGGTTTGGGCGTACAGACTCGAAGTTATAGATTTGGATGACAATATTTTCTGTCATCGAAAAAAGCTGCTTGTGATGGCTGAAGCTTTTTGGCATTCATTTTACAAAAATTTTTTGTCAATAAAGTGTAGGTATTCCTTCAGATCGATACCAAACTCACTTAGACACGCTTCGATGCCGTCACTCTCAATCTGTACTATTCCTCACTGTCAATCAGACTAATTAGTTAAGGATTCCTTAACCAGTTCTTGTCCAAATCAACGACAGCCACACTCTTTGATGTGCTCTACCAGTTAGATTGATCAATGTAAAGAGTGTAGTCGGTCTGAAGAAGAATCATATTTTTAAATGAATATGTAGTTTTTCTACAAACACACGTACTTCTTTTACTAATTGCATTGGTCCTACTCTAACTGCTTTCATCATACGCCTAGTACTTCGATCATAACTCACATTAACTTGTTTTATCCTTGAAAACCAAGGGCTCAATGTGGATAATGAGTTGTATGAATCATGTAGAAGCATCTAAGAAGAGACAAAAAAAAATCACTACTTAAACAAAAATTGGTGATCAAAAGTATTTTTGCTCTATACATTTGGTCAAACTTTATTTTTAACTCGAAAAGAACTTCCTTTTTTTATCAACGCTTCCCAAGAAAATATCTTAAAGTGCATAACATGCAAGGTCTATTTACTCAAGATATTTTTTTATAAGAAAGAAAAATTATTTCAAGCTCCGCTTTTTTTTCTCACTAACAACTTCATACACTGTTAGGAAGTATAAATAAAGAAATTCATCAGAATGTATAAGTCTGCATGGCCTGAGGAACGAAAAGAAAAGAACATAAAAAAACAAATATGGACCAAACCCGACTGGTATCCATAGTATAATGTGTTGTTTTTACCTTTTTCTATGCAAACGACTAGAAATATTCCCTCATTATCAGTTTCTTCAAGAGTTTACATGGTTACTCTACAAAATCTATGCATGATTTTGCTATGATTGTCTCTTTTTGCGTTCTTATTTTATTATTTCTTGTTTACTGGTACGAAAAAGTATGCCACATCAGTGTCATAGCAAAAAGAAATCTATATGAAAACGTAACTTTACTGTTCTTTTTGATTGCATTAAAATCAGAACAATAACAACAGTCATTAAATTTTCACAAACAAACAACTCAAATTCAAGCAAATTCTTACTTGTTTAGTTTCATTTTCGATAATGGCAGCAAATAAAGGTCATATTCACATTGAAGAAACTCTTCATGAAAAGGCTGGTCAAATCAGTGAAGTTGAATATATATACAAAGAAAGTTTTAATAGTGGCAACGAACGCAACTATACAATATCAGTGAAACGAGCAGATTATGAACGATTAGCAGCTACAATAGGTAAACCAACATTACCATTTGATAAATTTGCCAAAGTTTTAAAACCATTCATGATGGGTGCCTATGCAGCTGCTGATGTACCGGAAGCATTTCGTCTTTTAGATGCTGATCATTCAGGCACAATTGATATTGGAGAATTAGCTGCTTTTATGCCAGTTATCATACCTGATGGTAATCCATATATGCTCCTTCATCATATTGAAAAGGTAGATAAGAATAATGATTACAAACTGAATTTACTGACTTCGTCAATAAAGGTATTGGGCGAGATTTTGCACTTGGACGCCTCTAAAACAAATTAGTTCCAAAGACAATTTCTTTTTTTCTTTTCAAACATGTAGAGTTTATTATTTAATCATATCATGAAATAAAATATATTGATACTTCGATCATTCATTGAAAATCGTTTCATGAAATATGTAAAATGCGTGAAAATGATGTTCGATTGATATACAAATAAAAAATATATTAACGAGCTTCTATTCTCTATTTCTTACTGTTTTAATGTTTCAAAGATGATATTCTTTCAGTTATAAAAATTCATATATTTTGACTTTTATTCTTCGATGTATTTGTTTATGAATTGTTTTACTAAAAGAGAATTGTTCACATGTTTTTCTCTGATACAGTTTTAAAGTCATTGAGGATGGCTGAAATGTCATCAATAGGACTTTCACCAATTCGACACTTGCCGAAGATGAAGGATAAGAATATATTGGTAAAAGTATAGTGTATTTTCGCAAGCTATCATGAAACAATATTGATAAGTGGTACATATGAGGCCTGGAGTTGGTATCGTTAGAATCTGTGAATGCACGACTGCCATACTGCAGAGAGTTGTATATCGTTGAATTTATTGACATAAGATGTACATATCAACAATCGCATTAAAAATATCTTATCAGTTCTAATATAATATCTAAACACGAAACTAAAAGATCAAAAAATTCGTGAAAACATCAAAAATAACTCGGTTGTTTTCGGATGCTAATCCTACACTTTCCAAATTTCTATCGAAAAGCATTCAGAAAAATGTGACACGAAAGCGCTTCTCTCTCTCACTATCTTAAAGTTTTGAGAGTTAATGCATTACAGATTCTTACTCATTTACACACGTACCATTTGCAAACATTTTCAATGTACAATCGAAAGCCGCAACTAACTTTCTAAAACGTCCAAACTTATCTTATGTTAAAACATACCATTATGTTTTGGTCCATTTTTACTCCTCTTCTGCTTTGTTTCTGGGGCGATTATTTTTAGAAACTATTGAAACTTATTTTTTTGGGCTTTATTGCAATTTTTTAACAGATTCCCATGCATTTCAAAACCAGTAGTAGATGTAGATCTGTGAGTGGATTTGTTGGGAAAGGTGTTAATGAGTTGATGTAGAGTATGTTGGAGATGTATTGAGAAAGAGTGCTGATGTATTGGTGAGCGAATAGATTATTCGTGTGCTCCTTGATTGTGGGGATGCTTGAATTTGGGTATGGTGTGGATGTGATGCACATATGGCTCTTGATGTGCTTGTGGATCTGAGTTTGTGTTGAGTGAATATGCGTGGTTGGTTGAAAATGTGAACAGAAGTACCAGACGAGAAACACATCGATATCTTCACTGGCACTGAGACCAAGACAAACTTGCACATCCATTCCGCACGCACGGCCACATGCATGAATACATTTGATATTAGTATCGATTGCGCTTGTAAAATAATATATTGCATAGAAATTGTTGAAGATTCAGTTAGAGGTCAAGCGAGCCTTAATTAACGAACGCTGCTTATCTTAAAACGAGGAAAATTAAAATGAATGAGAACTTACAAGAAAAGATTGATTTATAAAAATATATATATATATACTATATACTTTCTCACAGAATAAAAGAAAAGAATATTCATTAAGAAAACGTATAAATCATTTTAGTTTCAATCTTTCTTCATTTATTGCTCACAATCCTGAAAGCTAGCCATGCATTCTATTATTATTATTATTGTTGTTATCGGCCTCACCCTTTTGTTCATAGTGTGTATGATGATTAATCAATGAAAAAAAATAATAAAATAACTTCATCTTGCATAGTATAATGGAATTTTTTCCTAGATGTTTCTATTTGCTTTTCATTTTTGTTGCTGTTCCAGCTCTGTTTTTTTTTTCATTTCACTCAAACCAATTCTCTTTCCAGATCCAAAATTTTCAGTTGTTTTGTTTTTCATTTTTTATGCTTAGTATGCAGATTGAAATACCTTCTATCTCATGAGCTCATTTTAAGAAGGCAAAACTACCTGTTTGCATTTAAAAACCTCGAAAAGAACTCAACTTTATGCTATAAGAGCCGAAAAATGCAAACTTCTTTGCGGTTTTCTCAAAAGTTAGATTTTTCAACAAGAAATTGAAGTTTTCCCCTCTTTTCTCCTAGACAGTTCAACCGATGGGACTTAAATTTTTTATGAGAAATTTGAACAAAGTGAGATACCCCTTTTTTTCTCTTGAAAATGTTTTGCATATGAAGTCTGGTAGATTTTACAAGATCAGCATCATTCGGAAAAAAAGTTTTTTGTTCATGTTTTTTTTTGTTAGTTCCAGTGTTTTGCTTCTCCTAAGTTCCAGGAACTGTATTTTTTAACGAAAGAAAACAATAACGTAGATCTACTCCTAGTTACCATAGAAAAAATTTCAGTTCTGAAAGCGTAGCGCAGATGTTTGTGGAAGGAGGGGAAAACTTCAGGTCATTTTCGGACCTTGATCTCCCAAGATCTCTCGGAAGAAACCATTTGAAAATGTTAAGTCTATGACAACTTTTATCCTATTCATCAAAATCTATCTATTCTGAAAGGTTGAAAAATTTTTGCTAAGTCATTCTCGATAAACCTCGAAAAGAAGTGAGGCCCTTCAATACTTTACTTTATTTTTTATCAGTTGTCATCTATGGTTCCACAAGAAAACGAACGAGTAAAAAAAACTCATTGCAACATAATTTCATATGCTGTGTTACATTTCATTCTCTTTTTATGATATCAGGAAGTGTTCTTTCTTCTTTTCTTAATGTTACTGTGAATGGAATTTGTACATAGAAATACATTGTCACATATTGTAGTTTGAAAATATATAGCGAATTCCTATTGTAGTATGCTTTTTACGCTCAATTGATAGTTTAGTACCATATGAACAAAGACTCATGAAATTTGATGGTGCATTGGTACACAACAATTCTTCACTAAGTTATTATTCATTTTCATTGATCTTTTTATCTGGTAAAGTGTCAAAATGTCGAAAGGAAAATGTATAAAGTGAAAATGTCGAAAAAAAAATGTAGAAAAGCAAAATGTCGAAAATTATGAACCCCTGTAAATCCTTGTAAATCCTTGATGAAAAACTTTTTCTAAGATTTGATCAATAGAATGTAATACGGTACACATTCACAGAGCACAACAGTGAGGGTGAGGGCGAAATCTGTGACCAAAAAGGATTTCGATTTTCGACAATCTGCTTTCGACATTTTGCCATTCGACATTTTCTCTTTCGACATTTTTCCTTTCGACCTTTAACCACCTATTCTTTTATCTCCGACTTGTTCTGATTCTCTATCATGGCGAGAAATAGAATGCCTATGTCAAGAAAAATTGTATTTACAATTGACTATATATACATACGTACATGATGGAATTCCTGTAAAAAAACTACTAATGGAGATCGTACCACATACGACAATTTTTTATTAGAATTTCTGACTGATTGTTATTATATGTGGAACTCAAAAAGAATAAGTTCATCAATTATCTGTCTGGAAAGAAAACTCTGAAGCGAAAGTCTACTGTATCGTCAAATTAACAGAAATTACGGATAATAATTGAACAGTGAAAATAATTTATATTGATTTGTGTTGTATTGAATTTATTCTCTTATAGATGATAATATAAACAAATTTTGTGTCTACAGAAAGTGAAAAACGCACACGGAATCTATCACATAAAGTCAACTCTTAAGTACTCTTTAGCATTTTAAATTTCAATTACTTATATTAGATGTGATGAAAAATTTGAAAGGTAGTAACGACATATGATCTAATCACTGTTACTGCTGAAAAGTATTTTCATGATCTTTAAGAAAGACTGACTTCTTCGTTTCAAAATCGTCAATTTGTCAAGCGAAACTTTGTAACAACGTTTGAAAGAATATCGCATGACCCTCCTACATTTAGATCATCTTAATACGACATTGTGGATTGAGTTGTGTCGAGATTTGTGAATGATTAATATACAGTGCTGCGCACCGTAATATCATGGCTCTAGCTATTCTTAATAGAATTTTAAAAACTTTCTCTTCCATTCGATTTAAATTTTGAAAACCACAAATCAAGTCCATCTTGATCATGAACGAATTGAGTTGATTATTGGACATAGATGAAATGAAGTATATCTCTAAGCTTATAAGTATTATAGATCATTTATTGACATTTAAATTAATCAAAAATCATAATTAGAACAGAAACGTGATGGCAAAGAATAAATCAGAATTTGTTTTTCTTAGTACTAATTTGATTGATTATTATTGAATAAGTTGCAATGAATCTCAAATGAACTTCTTCGTTTAATTTTACGTTTCACCAAAATTAGTCGAAACATCTACAACAACAAAAAAAGAAACTTCTCGAATTCTTAGGTGTAAACATAAATCCAATTCTAATCAAATAAGTCAATAGACACAACAGAACAGAAGTTTATACATAATGATTAAGTCTTTCTAATTCTATTGAAATGTAATCTAATAATTCAAATTATTTATATTTTTATATAAATATTAATATTTTTTTCCTAAATTAAACTTTTTTTTTTTTCCTTTGATTAAGTTCAAATAAACCGACATAATAACCTGCTGCTTTAATGACATGCAAGTTAAGTTACAAAAATAACTCAAAATTATTTATTGATATCAAAGATAAATATATATTTCTTTGTAATTCTTTGCAGACGACTAACGAGGAAAATATTAAAGGTATTCAACTTCATTTTAATGCATTCATATCTCATTCAATAGATTATACTGAAGTGAGAAAAAGACTTAAAAGGTTCGAACTCATGATCTACTAGCCAAGTGTTATCATCGTTTTACTGAAATTTTTGCTAAGAATCATTCTCTTCCAAAATGAAGAGTTTTTGTTTGAAATTTTGCCCATAAATAGACTTAACGGTCATTATATAATCTTGAAAATTTCAACGAAAACGAACATACTTTTCTCAAGATGTTCAATTTCTAAAAAAAAGACAACGGTCTATTGTAGGAGGACATGACAATGGAATGTAATTATAAATTGAATATCTTGAGAAAGATATATTCATTTCTATTGAAAATTTCAAGATTATCTAATAACTATTAAATCTATTTATGAGAAAAATTTTAGACCAAAACTCTTTATTTGGTTTTTTTTTTCGGAAACGATTAGTTCTAAATAAAAGTTTCAATAACAACGACTATGACTCTTTATCAATAGGCGCCATGGACTCGAGCCCTTTAAGGCTTTTTCTTATCATAATATGATCTATCGAATGAGGTATGAATGAATTAAAATGGAGCTAGACACGTCGAATACCTCCATCATAAGTAATTTCTATCTGTTCTTCATTTTGTATGCATATAACTTATTTATCTGATATAAAAGTCTTTAGTTCAAACAAAACTTGTTTTTGTTTTATTACAAATTTCTCGACACATTTGCATATGTCTTTTGAGATAATAATGATAATCAAACAAATGTCTATGAAATGACCTTTCTTATCTTAATAATTAGAAATAAAATCGACATGAATTAGGTATTGCTTGTCATTGTCTACCATATACATTGTAGTTGCTAAGCTAACATTCACTACTATAATTCTATTATAAGATTGCTTTCCAATAAAATATGGTTCCTATTTTAATTCTTTATTTCATAATATAAATTAATTGATTCGAAAAATTCTAAATTCAAGATATTATTATGACAGTATATTAAAACAATAAATCAAAAGAATTTTCGACTACGTGAATTTTGTTTTTTCATTAATAAATTTTCATGAGTCTTTTTTTTTCTATCAAAATGATTGAAAAATTGACTTTTGATTTATCAAATTCTATTGGCAAGACTAATATGTTTTTTCTAATTAAGATGAGTTGTTTGAAAATAATCTTCTTAGAATAAGAAGCTTTGGTTGTTTTTTTTTTCATTTCTCTTTGCTATGATTGGTGAGATAATATCTATTTGAATTTGAGATTATTAACACGTTATTTAAAACATATGTATTCGGTTCTTTATTTTACAAGAAACTATAGACATTTGCATTAATAAAATCTATCATAATACGTTGATTTATCTTTCGTATTCATAAATGTTTTTTTTTTAATCACAACTAAAGGCATATTTTCAAATTATTAATAGATCATCTAAAAAAAACATGTTTTTTTTCTCTTCACGTCTTTTGCACAGAAAAAAAAACAAACATTTTATCTTTAATACGTGAACAAAATATATCTATTTGAGAATAGAAATCATTTTTTGTTCTCAAAATACTCATATCATATATAAATACTTAAGAAATACTTTTCTTTCGTCTTCTCTTAACATCTAAGTGTATTGAGTACAAAAAGACGAATTATTTTTCTGATATATTAAATTGATTATTTTCAAATAGAAAACAAAAAAACCGTCTATAAATACGACTAATAAAATATCCATATCCATATATATATATATATATATATTTATATCTACATATTCGTTGTTTTTTCTTTAAGATCTATCATATACTAAAGAAAAAGAAAATGTAACACCACTTAACAAAAGAAAAATCAATAGAATGATAAAAAGAAAAGGATATAGATTTGTGCATAGTACAAATCGATTACAATAAAAACCAAAAACAATTTATTACAAAACAACAACGAAATATTTGATCAAACATAAATTTAATTATATGATTAAAAACCATAATATTATTAGTAAATGATCGTAGTATAAAAACTTGATTGAATTGAATAAGCAAGTTAAAAGTAGAGAAGCGTTAAAATAATTATGCTGAATATAGATCGTGAGATGAACTAAAAAAAGGATAATATACAAAAACGAAAGAAAAACAAAAAGAAATATCTAGTGTTATATGTATATACATAATCGATCAAGCTTTTCGAAAGAAGTAAAAGAGACGAGCTCAATGTCAATATTTGTTCTCGTCTTTTTTTTCCTTTCTTTACTGGTCAACATTACCATAACATACATATAAATTTTTTGACAGCCAACTGTGAGATGAGAAAGCAAGCAAATATAAGGATGCAAACAAATACATGCATATACATCACAAATTTATATTTTCGCGAGGATATATGAATTTGATCTCTATGTTGTATTAATCTTTTTACAGTACCGCCTAGTTTTTTTTTTTTTTTTTCGTTAGTATAGCATTAAATATAAGTATATAGAATTCTTTTTTTACTTAGTACTCTTGTATATTATGTATTATGTGTCACGTGGCTGTAACTGTGAGCTTATGTAAATTTGATTCTCATGCATATATATATATAGATATATAGTTCTACTTTATGATTCATTTATGTTGTTGGAAGTATAAAGAGAAAGAAACACACAGACACAAAGGGGAGAGATCATGCAAATATATAGATTCGAGCAAGAAAATGACACGGAAGATAATATGTACAAAACATCTCTATTTCAGTATAAATATGTATCTAGAAGCGACGCGAATTCATGTCCATTTCTTTGAGATACCTTCGATGGCCAAGATCAATACGATAGATAATAAATAATATAAACGCAATTAAATAACCACCACTTGAACCAACAGCAATCCATGTTGAAAAACCAATATTTTCACGACGAATTGTTAAATTTGCATCACGATTCATTGTAATCATTACAATCCATATGACTACACTAATACAAACTAGAATTTAAATAATAAGAAAGAAAAATAAAAAATAAAAATAGAAATAATAAACATAACTCATAAAAATATGACTTACAAATTAAAAATGTTAATGCAGCTAAAGCTGTTACGAAATGAGGAGCAAGACGTCGACGACGAAGATAAAGATAACCACCAGCAAGCCAAAGAAGAATTATCGACAATGATGATGCTATAATTGATAATGCTGCACATGCAACAGCATACGCTACAAAAAAAAAAATATTTCAAATTAATGATAAAAACAACATAATTTGTTATAAACATGAGAAGAACATTTTTTTAATACATACGTGGTCGACATGAAGCTACTGAATCTTTATAGACAAGAATCCAATCACGACATATTGCATCTGTGCGACCTTCATCAACATAAAAAATTCCACGATAATTTGTTGCATTCGGATATGTAGGAAAAGTTGGATAGATCCATCTTGGTGTTAATATCGCAAGAATGAATGCAATTGTACTTGATACAGCTATTAAATAGCCAACATAGAATAGAGCCATTCGATTTGAATGTTTATTTTTATTTATCTAAAAATGAAATCATAAAGAGCAAAGAAGATATTCTCAATAAAATAATCGTAAATGGATGGGCATTTTTTTTTATTTGTAACCTATATAAACAAAGAGAGAAGAAAAAAAAACACATCGAATCCACCCACATAATAAAGGTGAGATACGATAAAGAAGATATAATCGGCAATTAGTCAAATAACGAAAGAATTAATCATAAGTGAAATATCAATTACTCTTCGTTACTTCTTTTTTATTTTTATAATGTTTTACGTATTCATTCTCTCACATTCAGCTGAACGATTGAATCAACAAATCTACAAACGGTACCCGATCAATTATTACGCATGCATATACATGTCCGACACGAGTACAATGAACTAAGAGAATTTTTTTTTTCTCTCTTTGAGAACATACATACATACATACATACACGGACGTGCATGCTTATTGATAAGTAAGAAGACGAGAAACAGCAAAGACATCTGTCCTTCTCACTTCCTCTCAAACGCATATAGTTAAATAAACTAAAAAGAAAAAGAAGAAGATTATATATAACTACCTAAGAATTGCGTCCACTAGAAAATGACGAGAAGAGAAAAAAAGCAATGAAAACCTTTTTTTTTTTTCTTAAAAAAAAAAGATGTTATTCATTTCTATGATTTGTTTTAGGATGACTTAATAAGTTAAAAACCTTACCTATTTCTATAGACAACAATATTTTATGTAGTTAACAATAAGCTGAATTCATTTGCATACATCTAAATGCACTCGTAGAAATACGGTATGAGTCAAAAAAATATTTTTTTTTTGACATATTTCTCATAGCTGTTAAAGTAGAATAACGAATAGACCATAAATATTTTTAAGCAAACAGACAAAGTGGAGCTTTATTTCAACCGTAAAAGAAATAGACTGGGACGGTAAAATGTTCTGTGTACTTTATCCGTAACACTTGTAACACAAAGCACCTCAAGAAATGTTCTCTGATTCAGTCGTCATCTTGGATTCGTTCATGAGTCAGCTTGAAAAGAAAAATAAAAACTCAACATTAATTGATATAAGAGTCACAGCTGGCTGATGAAAGACTCAGCAGATTTGAGTCGGTAAAATCATTTTCTTTCATATCGTCAAAAAACTATAACATCGACTAGTAATCTATACACCGCTGTTTTTATCTATAATAACTCATTTTCAAAAAAAATGCATGTTCGTGGAAAGGAGAGTACACACTTCAAAAAAAAAGCGAGATGCATGACAAACCTAATAGAATAAAATAAAAACCCCAAGGTTAACAAAGTCATGTACAACTGAGTGTCTACAGTGTTCGCTATCATACGAATAAGTACTAAAGAAATCGCTTGATCATACACAAGTAATGATTAACATTAACGCTGTCTCATGTCTAGTAAATAATTCTTTTTTTTGCCTTTTATATACATAAACTCGTCTGTCATATACACATACATATATACGTTTCTACAATAAATTCAATACAAACGAAAGCCCATCATCCTTTTTTTCATCATATGTGTCATCAAACGAAAACACTTGAATCTAGTAATTTTAATAATTATTTCTTTTCTCGTTTTACCTTAATGCATACGACAAAGGTTCAAAAAGGATAACAATAATTCGCTATAGGGTACTTGCATGTATGCTTTGAATATCAACATAAATTGTTTATACATATATAGGCATACATACATGAGTATGGCGAATTTGAAAAGATAAAGTGACAACATATACAAACATCTAATGGATCGCAAACGTGTGTGTGTATACACACCGTTATAAAATCAATTGAATTTGTGTGAATAGAGTGAGACGTAGACGTCGACACATCGATTGAAAATAAGTGAGCAATTATGTTTATGTGTATGTGTAGATAGATAATGGCATATAGGGTCATTTGTCTACACGACTTTCATAGTGTAAAACTGGTAAATAGCAAACAAAAAAAAAAGAAATTAATTAAAAAAAAAGTTGAAGAAATATTTTAAGAAAAAAAAATATCATTGATATTTGTATTATGTCATTGTTCATAGGAATTTTTATACAGATCATGTTGTGATAAACATGGTATGTAAAAAGAAAAAGGAGATCGATTTTGAACTATACAAATTGCATGTTTGAACGTAAATGCGCAAGTATATGTAAGTTCGTTCGTGCAAAGGATTATAATTTAATATGAATGAACTAACAAGCACAAAAAGAAAGAGAAGGTTAGTTTCTCTTTTTTTTTTTCATTTTTTTTTTCTTTAAGACCGAGTCAAATAAATATATATCTAACATGTAGTACTGACATATTCATCAAGCGTCAAGGTGAAAAAGGATAAAGAGAACTATACGAATTGGTAAAGAACTATCGGCGCGTCAGTTCAAACATTACTAAGTCTTCACAAAAGAATAAAATAATAAATTGTAATTGATTTTGCTTCTCAACTTAATAAACAATAGTTACAAGTATGATTTGTCTTTTTAGGTCGAATAAATACATTAGACTCATACTTGATAAATTTTGCATCATGTTGATATTACTGTAAACGACAGATATAACTGAATTACTTCTATGCTTTTTTCTTCTTCTCTTCGTCCTTTTGAGTTTTTTTCTTTTTTTGAAATTAATGTGCATTGGGAGCTTAACTTTGAAAATCGAGAACGTCACAAATTATGCTTTGTCTATTTTAAAGTATTCATTTTTTTTCTATACATTGACCTTCTCACATATTCATCTCAATCAGGAAAAGAGGCACAGCTATATAAATATTTTGAAGACGACTAGGAAAAAGAAGAGTTTGGTTTCCTTTTTTTCCACTTAACATAAAAAAAAGGAAACTGAATTTATAATGTATCAAATCTACACAAAGGTGTGATATGCCATAATGCTCAACTCACATCAAATAACACCTACATATATGTACGCCTTTAACGCAAAATTGACGATGCTAGTCGGACAAAGATATACGATTACCTTTTTTTATCACGACATACAGACAAACAAATAAATAAAACATTTCTTTTCCTCTTTTCTTTTTTCCTTTCAATTGTCTCATAAATTTACACATATGAAAGTTATTTATTATTTTGTTGGCACTTATATAGAAGTAAGAAGAAGAAAAGAAAAAAAAATAATCAACTATACCAGATTTTATACCAACTGCTGATGATGTTAGTGCCTTTTCTATTGATGCCTATACAACTCATTTTTATGGGACTATAGGTAAACGGTTAGTGGTGGAAAAGAAGTTTAATATTACACATGCACATGCTCGCTTAAAAAGTGAAAAGGAATCGACATATACAAGTATACAAAAAAAAAAAGTGAGAGAGAGAGCGAGAGAAAGAGAGCCAAACGGTGAATAGCCTGCTGTCGGGAAGAGAGAGAGAGAGAGAGAGCGATGGAGTGAAGTTATAGTGCCAAAAGGACATTATACGCAAGTTAACTCTTCTACTTTGTTCTGACTCTTTCTTTTTTACGTATTCTCTTCTTGAACTAAATGATTATTAAAGGACGAGTGACGCCACTAAAAATAAATACAAATATTAATAGAATTTCATTATAGACAAACTTTCTTTTCATAGATAAAAAGAAAAAGAAAGAATAATTAAAAGGTTATATAAAATTACCTTTATAATAATTATAAAAAAAAGAAAAAAAAAAATGAAAAACGTAATGCTTATCTCAATATTTCATTTCAATGTAATGAATGATGATTGCCATCTGTCATTTGTAGTTGATGTCCATAGTGATGCTTATCTCTAGATTGAAAACAAATTTGATTGAGACACGTGTATATATATATAAATATGCCTTAAAACCTTGTAGATTGACTGTGTGATATATGAGGATGTACAAGGCGAACATTAAAATCAATAGAAGATGACATATTTCCAATTATCAGCACTTTTTTTTTCGCACACCATATTTTTTTGCCTTTTTGATTCTTGCTTGTTGTATTCATTCTGACAAAAATATGAATATCCAATTACTGTTTATTAGATTTACATGGAACTTTCTTTTGCGATATTATGAATTTGTATTCTTAAGAACAAAAAAACATGATTTTTTTAAAATTATTTATTAATTATAAATGAATCTAAGATATAATGATATTATTGTCATAAGGATGTAATGTCAGTTGGTTTTATTGATATATCATTTCATTGCAATAAATAAGAGATTTGAAGTTTTAATTTTTTAATATATTTTACGTTTTATGTCTAAATAACAATGCAAATAGTCTATTGTTCTGAAATTATCATTAAATGAAATCTTATCGTCTTTTGTTTAACAAATAATGATTGGAGAAATATATATATATCATTTGTCTAGAACAACACAATAGATGTATTCAAAATAATAACTACTCTATCTTAATCATAGATTTATTCGTAATACCAGAATATTGACTTTGCCTGCATTTGTATTACATGCATATGTCGCGATATCATAAAACATAAAAGCATTAGAACAGATTTGTCAGTGATGATAACGTCTTAATCATATGTGTATTAGGTATTTTGCGTTTACTCTTTTTTAAACAATCAAAGAAGTAGTGTCCACAAATTGAAATCAAACTTAGATTAAAATTTTAATTTATGTTATACTAGTTATTTATCATTCATAACTCGAGTTGATCTGTATTCTTGAATTTAATTGATTTTCCATCGTATAAATGACGATTCTTGTTTTTCTTTACTACATGACCTAAGGTAATTATTATAAAATGATATTGATTAAAATGAATAGATATGTTTTCTTTATTTTTATATTTTACACGTCTTTAATAAAGAAAATTCATTCTATCTGCTTCCTTTTACCATCCGAAATTCTATTTAATAATTATTACTTAGGGCATTATACTATTGATAATTTTCTTTATCAGTGATAATTTGCTTGTCAATAGACGTGTTTTTACAGAGCAATATTTCTTTATAAATAACTAAAGTGAGTCACATTAGTTTAGAAAAAAAGAAAAATAATATATTTTATTTCATTTATAAAACTTTTGTTGACAAATAATACTTTCCGACAACCATACATCTTTTTCACAAATAAGTTTTTCTATATTGAGCGCGAACTTTTATAGATCTTCTCTCATGATTTGATTTATTCTTTATTGTCTACTTTTGAATTCTTCTCACATAAATAACTGTCATAAGATATTATTTTATATGATTCATTGATAACAAGCATTCTACAAAAAATAAGAAAACATCTTCTGTTCATTGAATTAAGAATTCTTAAAAATACAGTAAAAATCTTATTTCGGAATTTTGTATATTTATACAAAAAACAAAAAGAAATGTTATGTCATCAATGAGTTAGATAAATGTAATAGATTATAGGACAGTTCAATGATACATAAAAATAATCTTTTGATGAAACTGAATACTTGATTTGTTTCACAAATAGCAACATTCCATTATAGCATAAAGCATAAAATAAATAATGCAATAAAACAATTAACGTACTGTTCTGAACCACATATAAAAATGAAAATTACCGAACATATGGAAATTCTCAAACATTATCAATCATTGAAAGAATTTACTGATTCATCTTTAGCTATATTCTTTCTAAGGTCTTTATTTAATATGCTAACAGCTTTAATCTGTATAGCTCTACAAATTAAATCTCAACCACTTATCTTTGAGTTGTATGCATACCTCTTAATATTTCATGGACTAGCACAATGTATTATTTATTATCAATAAGTATCTTTTGTAAATCATCATTTATTCGCTTCGACTAACACAGCATAATAGATTTGGAAAGCGTGACAAACATTTGATGATGTTAAAAATTTTATTGAAATGCTGGCAAGTTGTCATTATTACTTTCATTGTTGACTATTTTTTACTCTTCAATATTCATGCGGAAAAAAAAAAAAGTATTATGATTTACTCGATGATCTTTCATTTCCGTTAAGAATTTATTATGATGATTCAACATATTTCTATTAAGGAAATAAAGATTAAAACTTTTTGCTAGAATAAAACATGCAGAGAAATGTTTATTAGAATAAGGAATGTCTACGGATGAGTAGGGAGCAAAGAAAAACAAGAATTTTTATTGTTTTTTTGTCATCATGTTTATTTCCAGAATGCTTGAATTTCTTGTAATTTCTTATTTTTTGTTTCGGGCATCTGAAAGCGAAAACACAAATGGATGTAAATGTCATTAAATTAATACGAAGAAAAACAATACATCAACAATTGATCTTACTTTAAAGAAAAGTAGAACGAATGATAATGCCACGAGTACACAAAAAACCAGAAATACATAACCTCCGCTTGCTGATTGAAGTGGTAAGAAAAATAAAGTAACTAAAAAGTTACAAAACCAATTCTAAAATTGAAAAATATTTAATGAACAATATTCATAAATCTAAAGCATACGATAAACATTGCTGATGAAAGTCCAGCAGCACGTGCTTCAACAGCAAATACTTCATTTGAGTATACAAAAGGAATAGGTCCAAGACCAACCGCAAATAAAATAATAAACAGAAGAATAAATATAATACTAACTATCGCCAGTGCATCTTTCTTATCTTCGGAATTTTTTGCCTAAACAAGTTATATAATTTATATAAGTATTTGAAAAAACCGTTTTAGTTTTGTTTTTAAAATTTACATTTAAAACAATCAATATCGTAAGACCAATCATAACAATTATTATACCAGCTAATGGCCAAATAATCAATGGACGTCGACCCAAGAATTCAATTAATTTTAAAGCAACAAGTGTTGCAATAAGATTAATGACACCCGTAGCTAATATACCCCAAAATACTTTTTCATCACGTAGACCAGCTAGTGAAAACATATCTCCTGAATAGAAGAATACCTTTGAAATAAAATATTCAAATATATACATATAAAGAAGAAAAAAAGAAATGATTTTATCTACAGCATTTATGCCTGATAATTGTTGAATAGCATTTAATACCAAACTTGTGATTAATGGCCATCGAAATTCATTTAATGAAAGTACTTTAAGAATTCCAAGATCTTGTTTATTTGATGCAGTTTCTTCTTCTTCAAATTCAATTAGTTCAACTTCAATATCATTACTTTGTCGTAATTTACGTAATGATTGTGCAGCTTCATTTTGTTTTCGTTCTTGTACAAGCCATCGAGGACTTTCAGGTAATGTCCAAATAAATATAGAACCCATCAACGATAATAAACCAACCCATGACATACCCCAATTCCAAGCACTGAATATATATAACAGCTCTTTTCTTGTAATTTACAGAAATGAACAAAAGTATTTCCTCCCTCCTTTCCTACCAGATCTCAACTACCATAGGCATTGTACGTTAGAACTCATTGTGTTGGCCCTGGATTCGGACTTTACTTAGTCAAAATCTGAAAAATGTCTGTTAATTGAGTTCGACTCCGTAAATTGTGAAATCGATGGGCTCTAGTCGTTTATAATCATTGTATTGATGCCGAAGGTTCAAAGAACGTCCAGAGACAGCAATCTTGCAGCAAATTACATGATCTTTTGAGCGATGAAGGATAATATACTAGGCTTCAGTTGCAAGTAAAAATATCAAGAATTAGTTATGTAGTTGATGAAAGGTAATGCAAAATTTAATAGCCATTTTTTCAGGTTAGAAAACTTGAAGCAAAACAAAAAAGGTGCCATTCAGGATAATTCTCGTTATATTTAAAACATAGGAGCTATCTTATATCTCTGATCTACATTCTTTGTGGAGTATGCGCACACCAATTTTCAAACTTTCCGCATATATAGAAGCTAAGATCTACTAGATGGAGGAAAACTTCTGTCCACTAATGTATAATTAATTATAATCTCACTTATGTCGTCCTAATATCCATGGTAAACCAATAATTTGTCCAAAAAGAATACCTATTACAATTGCTAATTGATGACAAGAACCTACAGTACCTCGAAGTGCTCGAGGGCTTATTTCATTTAAATAAGATGTTGATACTACACAACACATACCTAAAATAAATAAGAAACAATCAAATCAATCATTGAAATATATATTTATATACCAGCAGAAAATCCAGAAAGAAATCGAGAAATATAAAAAAAACTTATTGCTACATCTTTATTTTTCGTTGCTTTATCGATAGTTGTTTGGTCTGGATCATCTGTTTCATAACCACGATATATATACAATGTAATAATCATAAATATTGATGCAACTAATTGAAATGGCATACTTGCAAATATAGCATTACGTCTAAATTATTTTTTCTTTGTAAATTCTATTTACTTAATTGATAAGACTAACCTTGATAAACACTTATACCAATATTGTCCTGAAAAAGCACCAATAAAACCACCAATAACAAATAAAACATTATGCATTGAATCTTTTAATCGTTGACCAATAAGAGCTTTTGTAGATATTTCAGGAAGATAATAATAACCATTGAGATTTTTTGTTGTATCATTATAAACACAATCCCACCATTTACGTGCTATCCATTGTGATGTACTACCTTCTTTTTGACAAGGAAATGGATGACCACGAGTCCATGGAACAATAAACTATATTGAAAAACATGAAACAACAATAAAATATAATTTACAAATAAATCAAATTTTAACATACACCATTATATAAATTCGGACCACCAATATTAACTCCCATAACAAAACTAGTGGATAGTACAACGACAGCGATAGATATAAGTAATGATGATGTCCATCTCTATATCAATAATTATTATTATTTTACAATAAAAACAACAATGCCAGATAAGATTGTAAATCTGTTATCTCATTCTTAGATTTCACTACCAATAGAAAAGAAAGACAAAGCATGAAACCCTTCACACTTCTGTGTACTTTTTTGTTTTGTTGAATGTGACAAAAACTTTTGTAGACTAGATAGTGTTTGCGAGGTCTATTACTTTCGGACATTTCGAATAATAGCTATGGTAAGTATAATCTTTTCTTTTGAAAATTCAATATGAAAACTAGTTGTGTAGATCGACATAGTTTTTTTATGCTGTAAAAAGTGACGTATCGATCATGTTCATCGATTAGTTTGTACAGGATCGGACAGATGCGATGGCTGTTCTTGTATAAACCAATCGATAGGTCATTCTGTAGAGCATGAAAAACTACGTTGATCTATACTATTAGTTTTTCATATTGAGTTGGCAAAAGAAAGAAAGTATGGTTGTCATAGATTTTATCGAAAAAGCTCAACATCGATAGAATCTCAACGACTGCTTTGTCCACGAAATTTTTTTCGTATGCATTAGAATAAACAACTACACAGAAGTGTGAAGAGTCTCATGCTCTATCTTTCTATTCTATTGAAAGTGAGGTTTCGGGGTAGATTTATGACCTCATCTGGCAGTGTTCCTTATAACAAAATATATACGAAAACAAAAATAGCGAAATGATAGAAGCTCGCTAGGGAAAAAAAACCTGATTGATCGGTTCGCCAACTACATCAACTGTTGAAATGGCAACAGTACTTTCTGGTGGTATTTGTGATTGTGATGTAGTAATTTCATTATCAACAATACTCTCATGTTGTGTACTTGACATTGCCAAATTTAATAATTAAATAGAGAAGAAGACCTTTAAGTTTTATTAAATATACACAAAATATTTAACAATGAATAATGATATTGATTTATAACATAAGAAAACAAGAAATGTCAATAAAAATTTTTTATATTTAAAAGCAACTCGAATTGTGTTACACAAGATATAAACTTAGCGCGAAAGAGTTTAATTATACAAACTGTATCTAAGAGTGTTCCTTTCTATAGTTAAATGTTTCAATTGAAAACAAAAAGAGTTTACTTGATTATTATCTTTAGTAACATCATAGTAAGCAGATGCTTTCCATGTTTTTACTGTAAGATTTTCCATTTGAATTGTATTATTAATACAGTAGTTGTTCGCGTTTATACCAAATACAAGAATGAAAGCTACGACCAACTGAAGTTATTTATTCTTTATCTGTCTACGAACAGTGTTATTCTTAACACATATATATATATATATAAACCACGCAGGTACCAGACAGAATCAAGAGAGTAAAAGAAAAGCAAAAGGATTCGTATTGTTCTTGAATGAATACTTTACTAGGTGAGTGCAATTAAGGTTTTTTTTTTCATTTCTTAAGGCGCCATATACTGTATCAGTATTTGTGCCAAACATAACTCACCGAAATTATAAATTGAATTTTAAACAAAAGACTCTATATTTCATTTATTATTAAGAAAAATTAAAATAGATGTACTGGATCTATGATATTGGGTGAATTGATTTTAGTGTTTATTGAACATACAGGAATAAAGATCAACTAAAACTTTTGTTTTTATTTCAAAAATATTTGCCATCAAACTTGCAATAATGATAATTAATCATAATATCAATTTAATTTAAGCAGTGAATATCTTCTACAAAATAATTTAATGTATTCTGAATGTGTTGTTGCAACGATCTTCATAGTGTAGTGGATATTTGTAACCGAATTATAAGTCATTAATTTTTAATATTCAAAACCAAAATTATAAAAGGATAATAAAAAATACAAATATCTCTGTTTTACTTTCTTCAATTCGCTTTCCTAACGGACGAGACAGTCAGTGACCATTATGCTTTCTGAATTTGTTTATCACTCAAGTTGTCTTGATAATAGTTTACTAGTGATAATCGTTTTTATTGTATATGCACTATTGCTGTTCTGATGATTAGCAGTATGGAAAAAGCAGTTTGAAGAGCATAATTCATCAGTCTAGCATCAAACAATGATTATCTTGATAATCGGATCAATGGACATAGTGCATAATCACTTCAGAAAATTTTTCAACCTTTGCTTGACACATATTTAATGGAAAAAAAAAGGAACACCTTGCTATAAATGTTTCCAGACCAAAAAAAAACTTGATCTTTTTACAAATTGACTGTAAAAAGAAACCAGAGTACAGGTTTCACGGAAATATCATATATATATATGTATTTTTCTCAGTTTGCATATGATCGATTCGTAACTTCCTCTATTTTCTACGTGCTGTTCCGTTTTATGTGACTTCATTTCACCATTAACTTTATATTCATTTAGATTGTTACGAGTTTGAAAGAATAGAGAAAAATTTCATTCTACCTCTCTTTCTCTATCACAATTATCGTCCTCACTTTTTCTTTGTATGACAACCGTGTATTTCTTTTTTTAAAAAGAAAAACGTCCGACAGGTAAGCAAAATTCATTATTACTCAACAAAGTCTTTCTCTCTACGTCAAGCACATACATTTACATTATGAAATTTTACTACGTCCTACATAAGAGAAAAGGAGAGAACGAGAGAGAGAGAGAGAGAAAGAGGGAGAGAAAAAAAATTTGAAATCTTCAAGACAACAAAGAAAAAAGAAAATATGAGAGAATAAAAGAGTGAATAAAGAAAGTTACAAGTGTTCCTTTTTCAAATACTTTATCGTTGTCGCCGTCATCATTCTCCTTGCTGCCCACGAACAAAGTTGCTTAGCACCGTCTTGTCGTGTCACAAGGAATCAGTTTCTATTTGAAGAAGCACATATAAAACATACATATACACATATACACAACACAACTTGTTCCGGCAGAACAATCATCTTTCTATTCTTTTCTCTTTCTCTTGTTTTTCTTAGTTTGTTAACGGTAAGTTATTGCAAAGAAGATTATAATAAAACGCTTTGATGACAAACTAACAAAGCATATTTCCGAATGAATTACAAAACGTTGGATAGTGATAAAGATAGCAAAGTAAACCTTGTTTCATCGTATGATATTACCTAAGAATACGATAAGCAATTTACATAAGAGCTGCTTATGATAAGTATCACTCTTTTTCTTCTTTTCTTCACTAAAAAAAACCTCTCCTATTTCACATTAAGTTGAATTATTTCCTCATCGTCAAATTTTCTTTACGAGAAAAGAAAAAGAGAAGCTAACACAAAAAGAAAATATTCAATCATATAGTTGTCATTTTGTTTAAATTTACTTTTATTTCAGATTTCATTATGTAGTATAAGCCATCACTTATTCCTCTTTCATAGAGGAAATAAATGATATAATTTAATCTTTATTTTATTTTGTTGTCATGGTACTTATTTGTTGTCTCTAATTTTAATACAATAATAATATCTTTATATCAAATACAAGTTTCTCGCCATTATTCCGTCCATGAAACGAAATTGATCTTGACAATATATGGATTAACATCAATTTCGACGAAAACTTTCTTTTTTTTTCATTTGTATTTGTGTGATGTTTTTCTTTTTGTTTTTCATTTTTCATGCTTGTTGTATTGTTGGAGATATGTTCGAGCAAAAGCCATCAAAGCAGCGCACCTCTGTGATATGCATTGTACATAAAAAAATATATGTGTATGTGTTTATCTTTATTAAAACAATCCAAAGAAAAATTACAACTATATTTAAATTTCATTTATTCTAATATAATGGTTTTAATTCTTTTAACCAAGTCGGAATATATCGTTCAGGAAAACGTTTTTCATTTATAGTTCGAAGATATTCATCACCTTGTTCATTATATCTTGTCCAATATTCCCATGTATCTTTATCAAGTTGATCAATATCAATTTTATCTAATTTTTCTAATCCAAATAACCAATCTGGATAAGCTGAATCGGCTTTTATTTCTATATGTTCTTGATCTTTTTTATAATTAAGACCACAACAATATTTAACTAATTTTTCAGGATCTGTTTCAGCATCAATATATTGCTGAATTGTTGTTGTTATTACAGCACCTTTTTCTATCAATAATCAAAACTAAATTTTAGTAAATTAAACAATTTATTCGCATACTAGCTACACCACCACCAAGTTTTAATGCAGCACCCGATGGACCTGCAGCAGTTTTTGTTACAGCATAATGACGAAGAGCAATCGTAGAAATTGATGGTAGTCGTAAATATTTTATAGAAAACATTTTATCTGGAATAGATGTTTGAAAAGTTGGAAGTTGTTTTCTTGCCTACTAATCTTCTGTTATTATATGATGTTAACAATCGAATTATTCAAAAAATAACAGTTAGAAGAACTTTACATAATATACAGACAGAAATATAGAATTTCGATTAGCAAGAAAAAATAAACTATCAATATCAAAATTTTTTTTATTGTTCTATTAATCCATTGTGTTTGATGGTTCAATTGGTACAATTGGTTCGTTTATTGTTTTTGGCTCGGTTGATTCCATTGACACTATTGGTTCGTTGGTAATTCTTGTATCAGTTGATTCACTTGGTGTTTCATTAGTACAATTAACATTTTCTAAACTATGACATATTTCAAGTTCATCGTTCATTTCAGCCATTTTCTTTTCTTCTTCAGTTAAATCAGCAAATACAAGTTGATCAGTTGGTTGTTGTTCATCCCATATGATTGGAAATGTTGTTACTCGAGGTTCATCAACTGCAATATTTCTATTTAACTAGAAAAAGAAGAAAATTAATCATAAGAAATATTTCATTAATTCATTATAAAAATATTTTTACTTTTTCAAAATCAACTTTAACTGGTGGATTTTCTCGTAATTCTGGATCATCATATTCAGTAAATACATAATATCCTACACGAGCAAATTCTTGATTACGATATAAAGCCAAAAGAAGAATAACTGATACATCAACATCACTATCATTTGGTAATTTTTTTGGATCCGGTGGTGGAGCCTATGATTTGAAGAAAAAAAAAACAAACAAAGATAAATGAGTCTTATTTACGGTTTTCTTGTTGGTCATGAATACATAATAAAAAAGTGACCATCTTCTAGCTTATTTGTTGCTAAGTGCCGTTCCTTTTTTTTTCATTTCTCTTTCTCCATCGTATTGCTAGCATATCTTAGCAACAAGTAAGTTAGTATAGTCATTACTTTTGTATATGTTCGTAGCTAACAAGCAAATCATGAATAAGGCTCATGATATGAAAATATACTAAACATACTTCAAATACAAATTTATATGTTCCTGGCGCTACAGCATCAATAACGACAACATCAAGAACTTGATCTTGTTTATCTTCTTTTGCATCACCAACATAAACTAGTTTAAATTCAAGTTCTACGAATAAATATATGTTTTGTTTTTTTCTTATTATTGTAATAAAAAAAATTTACCTTGTGTTAATTGTTCTAAGCATTCAAATTTAATTTCAAATGTATAATTCGATAAGAATTTGGCTGGATTATTATGAACACTCACATTACTTATCATTACTTTCACCATATTTATGTTTTATTTAAAAAAAAATTTTTTTTCTTTTCTTCTACAATAGCAAGAATAAAATAAAAGTTTTTATATTTCTTTTTTTTGTAAAGAAAGAAAAGTTAAAGAAAAAAATAATAATAATAATAAAATATTTAATTCAAAATACAGACAAAACAAAATAATAATAAAATATTTAATTTAATACAAAGACAACAAGAAAATCATATAATTATTAATCTACAATTTTTACTCTTTTAGCTGTATTCTTTAAATTTTCTTTTCCTTTCTCAGTTATTTTAGAACAACCACTTAAATCAATTGTTTCAATTGATGGACATGCTTGACCAATTAATGATAAATTTTTATCATTTATTTTTTCACATAAACTTATATCTAAATATTTTAAATTTGGTAATGAACGTAAACCAAACCGAAATAAACGATTTGTTAATTGTATACATTGACGTAATTTAAGAGTTTTTAAATTTTGTAATTTATTTATTGAATCAAAATATTCATTAAATAATTTATGTTCAGTTAACATAAATAATATTCGTTCCGAATATTCATCATTATCAAAACTAAAATCTTTTAAACGAAGTTTAATACATGATGATGATATATATGTTGGTAATTGACATCTACATAATGTTTGATGTGTTATTGTATATGTCCATATTGGTAAATCATCAATAAATTGTCGATTTATCATTGTTTGATTAAGCCATTCAATCGTTTTACCAATACCACATATTGATAGACCAATTAAAGCAAAATCATTTATATTTATATTATAATTTATTGTTAATTCTTTTAATGATGAAAGATATTTGTTTATTAATAATATTGAACGATTTGATAATGATGGACAATTACTTAAATTTAAATGTGTTATTGATACAATAAATGATGATTGTGTACATATATGTTTAATAACAACATCAGTTGTATTTCTTGGTAAAGCTAATTTTTCTAAATGTGCTAAACTATCACTAAATAAATTGATAAGATCAATTTCATTCAATGGATATAATGTTTGAATATCAAGGTCGTTTAATTGCTTTAATGGTGATAATGATATATCTGATGATCGATTTAAAACTGAAATAAAAAAATTTCAACATTAATTAGAATGTATAATTATAACATGTGTCTTCATAAATTAGACTAATAGCTAATTAAGATAGTGATCAATTTAGTAGAGAGATTCAAGTAAATAAAAAGTGAAATAAAATCATTTGAAGGAAAACGTCAAGAGTAGACGTTAAGAAAAACAAACAATACTATTTCGTTGTATCATTATTGATTTCAATAAAGAACTACACATATTTAAAAAAAAGCATTTATACTCATAATGATACTTCGATCGTTTTATACTACGTCTACGATAGAATAATGTATTTTTTTACTCAATAATTTCCGCCATTAACATATGTTTAAAAACTCCTTTTATTAGTTAATGTTAAAGGGTGTGCGGCGTTACACCCACATCCACGTCCTAGTTCACGAGGATATATTCCCAATCGTCTAATCACTTTCTGCTTGAGACTAGTATCGTTCAATCAATCACGATGAATAATGAAAAAGTCTGTTATGACTTGATTTTCTGGTCTTCACTTGTCGAATTATGAACTTTTTATTGTGTTGTCCTCCTACAAGCATAGGATCACTGAGAATGTCGATGACCGAATTTTCAGCAGAAATTCTTCAGAACTTGAGCTAAGACAAATGCATTTTTATAGAGATATGAATTTGTCATGAAAATATCCTCTTTTTTGAAAAACAGCCCAAAGCAGTTGTTTCTTCAAAATGTAAATATCTTGGCAAGAAAGTGTTCGTTCTGGCTCAAACTTCACAGAACTCTTACTAAATATAAAGCTTACCTATAGAAAAATTTCACTTCGAAATTCAATCATCTCAACTCTCACTGATCCCATGCCATAGATTGAAAATCGAGTAGAACGCTTTTCATTTCACAAGCGAAGACTTGAAAACCGAAATCATCTCAGATTTTTTCACTACTAATCTCGATCTCATTAAAACATGTCAATTAACTAATATTGCGAGTTTTTGAATTTATCTAGTGTATATGAACGTATAGTCAAATAATGAAAAATTTGTTTTTTTTTTGCAAACGACTCCAGACTTAATTTATACACATGTTTTTTTGTTGAACCTAAAAAAAAATATCAGAGAAAATCGAATGATTTCATATCAAATGTCTATATTCAAATGCAATTAATAAATTGTAAAATCTTTGAAAATAATCAATTTTTAGTTATTTCTTTTTTGTTTTTGTTTGATATTAAATACCTGGAAAACGTATTTGTTGTTGTTGAGTGGCAGAAAGATGTAATGGTATATTTAAAAATACGCATATTTTTTTTAAATTAGATGCATATTGACTAAGAGCAGCAAATAATGGTTGACAACCAGTATGATCAAGTTTAAGACGTCCAACAATCAATGTTTCTAAATGATTATCAAAAAGAAGAAGAAGATGAAGTAATGTTGATACATTTAATGTTCCATCAATATGAAAATAAGTTAATTTTGTTGGTATCTTATCAAATAAACGTTTTATTTGTGTATCACATGATAGTGATGGATCAAATGATATAGTTAATGCTTGAAAACGTTCATGATATTGTTGAATATATGAACAAACATTTTCAAATGTAAGAATTGTACGATTTTCATTAGGTGTAATAAATGAACGTAATGGAATATCAAGTAAATGTAATGATTCAATATTTGGAAATGATGTCATTAGACAATTAAATGCATAATCTGATAAATGTGTATTACCATTTAAATTAAGTCGTTTTATTGAAGGATATACATTTGAATTTCGTGAAAAATTATGTGATAGAAAAAAGAATTTATAATCACTTAAATCAAGTTTTTCTAATGATTTACAATATGTAAGTAAATCATAAAAAATACGTAAATCAATTAATGTTGTAGAACGTGCAAATGATAAACTTTTTAATTGACTAAGACATGAACGAAATGGTTCCGATGTTTGAAGAAGTATATTTAATTCAGTATAATTATAATTTGATAATGATAAATGATCAATACCTTCGATTATTGTTGCTTTATCAAGAAGTGTTATACCAGATGATGATTTTGGTGAAAGAATTATTGAATGTATATGAGAATAAGATGAAAATGATGAAAGACGTGTATAGATTGTTCTACTTGTTAAACGTAAACATTTCCAATCGGTTAATGTTAAATGAGCCAAGATGAGATCAAAGATCTTTTAAATGCAAATGAAAACTTTTGGAAAATATAATTCTCATTTCAACTTACTTCAACTGGTAAAGTTTCCATCTTGTTTCTCAAGTGCTTCTACGAAGAAAAAAATATATAGAAAAGAAAAGATAGTGACAAATCAAAAAAGAAGTTTTTATGATAACAGACAGCCTTCTTTGATATTCATCGTTTATTTATATATATATATATAGAACAGAACACCTGTTGTTTTTCTTTTGCATCTGCTCATTTACTCTTTTTTTTTAATATGATGTTGCAAACAAAAAAAAAGAACACATATGACAAATAAATGTAACAGAAAAAGAAAAAGGTCTTCTTTATCGATGAACCTAATCATAGATATGTTAGAAAGTTTACAAGAGACAAAATGATATAACACACAAGCACATTAATAGAATATATATTTTCGTTTTTTTTCTCTAACAAAAAAAAAAAAGAAAAAAAAAATAAATGTTTAATAACATCATAAAGATTATATACAAATGCAATAATAAAGTTAAACATTATTTACTTCCAGTTGGCTTAACTGTCGTAGCAACATTTTGAAATAAAGAAAATCTATTTTAAAAAATATCAAATCGGTTTTTTTTATTTATTTATATTTAATTAAATAAACTTACGCTTCAAAATCAAGTTTTTGTTTTGATATACCACTTAAAGCAAATTCTTCACTAACAATAGGTACACCTTTTTTACATAAATCTTCATATTCATTTTTATGTACTTGTGCAACAATACAAACTAAATCTTTTCCTGGTTTATTTAAATTAATTTTTTCAATAAATTTTCCACCAGCTGCTTCAATTATATCTTTTAAATCATCATATGGTGGTGATGTATCTTTCGTACAAAAAATTTTATAATTTTCAAATATAGGATGTTGTTTAGCTAAACGAACACTTTCACGTAATTGAAAACCATAACGTGTTTCAGCATTTGTATCTTGTAAATAATATTTTTCATAAGGTAAATAACGATTTTCTTTTATCATTGTTTCAATCCATGTTGGTGACAATATATGTGCACCTCGGGCAAGACACATAAAAAATTTTTTTGTACGTCTTATACGATCAACAACTAATGCATCAACTTGACATGATTCATCCATAATTTCAAAACCTAATTTACGTAATGTATCTAAATGACTTTGATCAAAATTCTAAAAAAAAAAAAACATAACACAAAAATTAAACCGAAACAAAAAGAATTAATGAATTCTTACTAAATGACTACTAAGAGCTATTCGAACAGGTCGATCATCAGTTGAAGTTTGTTCTTGTGATGATTGTTCAGTTGGTGTAGTTAGTTTTGTTGATCTTCGACCACGTCTTGGTGTAACTGGATCAGGTGAAGATGATTCATCTGTAGTAGAAGGTTGTTTACGACGTGTATTTGTTGCGGGTGCTGTTTGTGGTGTTGTTGTTGAACGACTAGAGAAAAGAAATTTATGTTTCGAAATATAGAAACATTGTTGGAAGCTCAAAAATCGGTCTTGATCCAAATGCATTCAAATCATTCGCAATCCCGAACGCTATGTCATGATGTTTTCGGAAACACTTCTTTCATATTCTACCATTTAAATGGGTTTTTCTCTATTTTCTAATGAAAATATACACATCCGCATGTTTATATCGTATCATTGTTACGATGCCCCAATGCACTGTAAACCTTAAGCCGCAGAGAAACCTTCAATATCTGGGACGGTCTCAGTATGGGGCTCTTCTTCACCAAGTGCTGCAACCGTGAAATGTTCAAAAAAACTTTAATTAGACCAGGCGCTCACTGAAGAAAATGTTGAGACTAATAGTTAAAATTATCCGGAGAGATGGTTCAACTTTCGATGATTCCCATTAACTCTCACATAAAGGTTTCCCATAGAATAGTCCATAGATCAGGTAAACTAAAATTGTCTAAGATAGAAATTTTATTTGGAATGGGGGTACCATTCAGCTGTAAGATATTATGATCTGATGCAAAAAATTTATGGCAACCTTCCAACTCCTTCGTATCAAAGCCCATCAAGTCATCATTAGTCACATCTGATCGAAACTCAATATACTCTATTTGTGATCAAACTATGAGACTAAAGGATTGAAGTTCAGATAGTTTTAACCTGGTAACAAAACTTTTTTGTGAGTAATGTATATTTCAGTAAAATAGACTGATATTTACAGCATCTATTCCATTTTATATTTTGAGCTTTCTATCTTTTATAGTTACACAGATACGAGTAATATGAAATTTATAGAAGTTTTTTAGAATATTTATGAGAATTTCTCCGCTGTTGTATTAAGAATGTTAAATAGAAACGCCGCAAGTCAATTTTTATACGTTTGCTTTACATTGACTCGGTAACTTTTGCATCACCTTCCATTATTGCACTATTTCAATTTTACAATTCTGTTTCATCTTTAAATCGTTCTCTTCATCAAGTTTCCTTAATTGTATCTCTAAGCCGCCTCAATTAATCAAATATCAGCAAATTTTGTATGACTAACTTTAGGACCAATACCCTCATCAGTATCCATCAGGATCGTTATTCGCTGTTTGCTACACTGATCATCTTGAAACATTAATATCAAGTTGGTTTTTTTTTTAAATGACAGAACGCAGAAAACTAAAAGTTACTCATTACGACAGATTGATCAAATAATTAGAGTTCTTTTTTTAGTACTGTTTGTCAAAATCATTTAAAATAATGGGTTCTACAGTTTTACATGCTCTTTTAAACATAAGATCAATTTTCGAGTCCAAAACTTTCGGATTCGAGACCAATTTGAAGGTTTCAGAAGTAGAACGCTTAACTATACATACGTTCGTTTTGTAGTAGTTGATGCAACAGGTGTTGTACTTTTACGTTTTCGTCCAACGGTTTTTGTTGATAAAGTTGGTTCTTCATTTTCACCACCAGTATCCATTTGTTCGTAAATATCAGTATTATCTTTTTGTTTTTTAGTTTTTTCCTCTGGACTCTCTGATGTATCGATTGGTTGTTGTCGAAGACTAATACGTTTTTGTGATGTTGATGAACCACGTCCACCACGAGTTGATCTACGACCTATTGTTGTCGTTGATGGTGGTGTAATAGGAGTTTTTGTTTGTTTTTCAAGATCATCTAAATCAACATAATCATCAGTGTATGGAAAGGAACGATTTCGACCACTTGATGCACGAGCTTTAATTCGAGCTATTTAAGAAACAAGAATAAAAAAAAATTTATATGAAGATTTTTTTTTTTTTCTTTTGCTTACCCGAAACTCGAATATTTGCATTCATATTTGTTTGAGTAGGTGATGATGTTTCATCGGCTGGTGTTGGACTTATTGGTTGTGTGTCGCTTGATTTTTGTTCAATATCAGTTGTTGAAGATTTTTGTGGTGATTCTTCTGCTTCAGTATTTACTGTTTCTTCTAATGTTGTATTGTTATTTTGATTATCAATTGTTGGTGGTAAAACTGGATTACGACGTCCACCATGTATACGTGTACTAACAACACGAGCTCGTGTTGCACCGCCGCGACGACCTCGAGCACGGCGAGCAGCTCTTCGAGGAATGCCACGTTGATTACGACCTGTAACAGGGACTGATTCTTCAGTCTCTTCTCCTACTTCTTCTCCTTCATGTTCTTCATCTCCTTCAATTTCCTCTTGTTGTTTGTCAGTTGTATCGAGAGTTGATGATGGTATATCTTCAGATGCAGAAGTAGCTGTTAGAAAAAAAAGAATATAATCATAGAGTTTAACCTTTTTTTTTTTTTAGTTCCGCTAAAGAAGAAACTTACGAATCGATTCATTCATTTTTTGTTCTGATTCAATCGCAGTTGTTGTTAAAGATGTATCCAATTTTGTTTCTTGATCCTATTAATACGAGAATGAAAAAAAAATATATATATACTTAATCGATATTTAATCATTGTTTTACTATAATTGTTGGTTGAACTTTTGTATCAGTTTGATTCGTTTCATTAATTGGTATTGCATCTGTCTTGGTTGTTACTATAATTTCATCTTCTTTTTTATTAACACTTGCTTGTTGTTCATCGATTGCTGGTGTTGGTGTTATTATTGGTTCATCATTAACCGTTGCTGATGGAAGTTCTATTCAAACAAATACAGTAAAATTTTCCAATATGAACACCGGTATCTACTGGACAGCCGTAGCCTCTTCCATTGAAATTTATATATGCTATATACTAAATATTTATTTATTTCTATGAGATTTACGGTCACAAATAATGTACACACTTCTCATTATTTGGGTTGTGCAACTGGACTAGGGATGCGACAAATCCACTTCAATAGCTTGCTATTTGGTGATCGGTATCGAAACCAAAACTATTTATATTATTTTTGTTCAAAACTAAATCCAAATACTAAAGATTTGTTGTTTAGTCCCAAAAAGTTTTTTTTTCTAATTGTGCCGAACGTCTATTAAAGTAGATCATTGTTGATATCACCTTATCTTATCAAACTGTTTGAAATTTGCGTCACTTGAAACCAAATCTCAATGCTTTGGTTATGACAGCGGAAGATGTGTCTATTGCACTCACATCTTCATATAAAATATTAATAAATTTTATGAAAAAAAAATTTTTTTGCTACTTTTATTATCTGTTTTTCTTTGTTCATTCAAAAAGAAATTCCAGTTTCATCTAGTCAAACTTGAAATCTTAATTTTGCCTACAACATATATATATATACTGTACATAGTATTATTACTTAAACTAACAATTCTTTCTCGATTGTTGCATATGGCTTTTATACCTGTGACAAAGCTCATGTATATTTAGAAGCTTTAATATCAAAATAATCAACAGTCATATTAACAGTTTATTTTGCTTGTTAAGTAAACGATCTACGTAATTCATGTTCCAAAGAGCAATACACTCTTTCAGAATATCAAAGTTCCTTTTCAGATTTATACAACATTGCCATTGACAACAGTCATAGACAAGCGAAACTTTTTTTTGATATTAAAAGCTGATAAAGTCCATTAAAAATGGGCTAGCTATAATGTATATGTATTACATAATTTACATTGATATCAAATAAGTCAT